CCCCCCCCCCCCCGTCACTAAATGTCAATCGGAGAGTGATAAAGTGCTCCTATTGGCTTCGTGGTGGCTGTTGTCCGTACGTAACACGTTTACAACAGCTGAATGGTTTTCTATGAAATTTGATATTTGGGGAGTTAACAGAAATTTGTAGACACATTCCAGTTCTGGTTGAAATCAGGCAACAGTAACTGACGTTTCCTGAAGGAATACGCGTGTTTCAGCGCTCATTACCAGCGCAACTCGCTGTTGTTTATCAGAGAAAAATGAAATGCTCATATTGTACCAAGTACACGTTTTCCTCAAGTCTTACAGCGTTGGACCCACCACACCAGAAATGTTCGCTGTTGCATACGTTTTCGTGCGTTATTGATTTTTGGCTTTAAATGTGCTTCGTTGTTGATGTTGGCTATTCAGCCGTTGCAATGGGTGGACGCTGGCAGTGTGGTGACGTTTCGGCGGTACACGCTGCTTTCATCTTCAGGGTCGAAGTGACTAGGGTGGGTGAGTTCATGAATGTATGTCCAACAGACACAGTGGAAGGGAGGAGTGAGAGCTGGTAGCGGGTGGCCCGTCCAGGGCAGCAGTAGTGACGGTAGGGAGAGAGTTTACCAGACGACCTTGTCAGGGTCTCAGAGTTCGTCGGAAGGCCATCAGGTCTTGCCCTGAAGATATTTTTTGGTAACTTCTCACTGTCCACTCTGGCCATTGGCGTGGACAGGGCACTAGATCTCTCACCTTTCCCCCGATGGGTCTCACCTCACCCACACTGTTTCTTTGATTCTGAAGATGGAGGCAGTATGTTGCCCCGAAACATCGGCAACACTGCCCGCGTCCACAAGACCCAGGAGCGGAGTGAACATTTCCGAACGTGTTCATGTTCTTTTGATGTGTTTCTTCTTCTGTTCTCTTTCTACTTCCACTCATGCCCTGAAGTTCGCCTGTCGCAGTTTTGCCCACTTCAGACAATCTAGTACTCTCACACATATAAGACCTTGAAGGGACAGTTTTCCATTAGCTTTGAATATGGTACTGGCAGGACGACTGGAAAATATGGGCTTGAATCCTGTTCACAGCTGCTCCCAAACTGACTTCCGGTCCCACCCGGAATCCAGTTCAATTGATGCGGAGTGCTCTTTCCCCTGGAGTCATTTGACCGCTGCGTGAAGCTGCTCACGCACCTTCGTCCAGCAAAGCAAGGCAAAGCCGTACTGTCGGCTCACAGATGACGGCGAGGTCAGGCTTACGCGCCGTCCACACCTTTACCTTCAGGAAAATTCCTGAGGCGCCGTAGTGCGACTGAAAGGAATAGGTCAATTGAAAAAATCCAATGACCTCATCGGGAAACGAACCCTTGACCTTGTGGCTTGTAGCATAGTGCCTGAGCCAATTACGCCGCCACCTTCATCCTGTGCCGAGGTTAAGAGAATGTGCTGGCTTGCGGCTTGTTATGTCGTGTTTGCTGTCTGGTTGGATGGTTTGGAAGGAGGCAGCGGCATCTCCTCGAAGTACGTGTAGTTTCCGGGCATTTGCATGGAAGGTCTGAGGAGGCCGCGGATAATATCAGCCGGGTACGTTGCCGTGTCTGTCAACTGGTATGCCCAGCATACAGTAACCTAGCAAATTTGTTCTTGTGGTAGATTTCGTAATCATTGCAAACTCTGCTATAAATCCCAGTTACTGCAGATCAGTGGTTTTCTGCCGTAGACCTTTATTCGTATGTAAACTTGCATTTCTGTTTCTGTATTGTGACCTTAATTTTATGAAATGCTCTAGAAATACAGTACTTCGTCGGTTAATCAGTTTGGTGATCACAGAGATAAGGTGTCTGAGTTTGTGCTGATGCTTGCATTGGAACTTTCTAGATATATTGTGGTTTCATTGTGTTTTATTTATTTGCCACAGGGGGGTGAGAGCGCCTCTTCCACCGGCCGGGTATCGTCCTCGCGGAGTCGGACCTCAGACGAGCCTCACATCGGCAAGTACAAGCTGCTCAAGACCATCGGTAAAGGCAACTTTGCCAAGGTGAAGCTTGCCAAACATGTGCCCACGGGAAAGGAGGTAAGTATTTGTATATTTAAAGTTTAATTACGTGTAAGAAATGAATCCTTAAATAGAAGAATGTAGAGAAGAAACGACCTGTGGGCAAAGTAAAGTATGAAATAAAAGTGTCGGTTGATGGGTGTGGTGGGCGGAACGCGCCAGAGAGGCAGCTGTGTTCATTCTGTTACTGGCCCGGTTTCAAACTTAAAAAAAAAATAGGAATTTCCATAATGTCAAGGAACATTTGATGCATTTTACTAAGGCACTGATGGAAGAATCAGGAAATGGCGGCGAAGTGTGTGTGTCTGTGACTGCTGCTGTTTGAAAGGTTTGATATAGTTTTCTGAACTAGCCATTTCTGTGTTATGAGGTTCTACAGTTATCACCGCAGAGATCAGAAGTTCACCAAGTTCTGATGTTGGGGGAGGAGTCTTAAAATATTGAAGCATATGTCTGTCTGCATGACTAGATACCAAAAGTAGAGGTAAAGCTGTCCCTGTACTTAATTAAGCACTATGCCATGAAGGCGTATGGGGCAGTGGATGTATAGATCCACATTTTCTTGACCTCGGCACTAATTGGAGGTGAGGGGTCAGCTTCACTTCTCGGCCGCTTTACCCTCAGGGACAAGGCCCCCCGGTACCCGTTGGATAGGAGGTTGGGTGAACGCCAGAGCGGGTCTGGACGACATGGAGAAGAGAAAATTTTTGACCGTGCTGGGATTCCAACTCCAACCCCTCAGTCGTCCAGCCCGTAGCCAGTCGCAATACCGACTGAACTATCCCGGTTCCTGGATACTAAAGTAGTTTTGAATGTTGTTAGCGTGAAAAGGAGCAGAGGAACCCAGACATCAGTCTGTGGTATATTTAATCTGATATAAATATGCAGCACTGCCACGTGGACCCATGCAAAATGAAACAGAAGCAACATTAAGTTAGATGTTGCGCAGTTTTGGCGAGAAGCATTTAAGGGAAAAGAAGAACGAATACAATTAGAAATGTAATTGTTGTGAATACAATTTTAGTAACAGGGTTAGAAGGGGGGAGGGTGGTAGCGTAGTTTTTTTTATTGCTATTGGGATGGGCGTAAGTCCCTTGTACTGCGGCCACTTCTGGCCTATTGTACCAGCCCCAGATGATAGGTGAGGGTGATTGTGGAGCAATTGGTGGAATGAAGATTGGCAGGGGAAACCGAAGTACTCGGAGATAACCTGCCCCAGCTCCACTATGTCCACCACAAATCCTACTTGACCAGACCCCGGGATCGAATCCGAGCCGCCACGGTGGGGAGCCAGCGACTAACCGCTTGAGCTATGGCGATGCCTGGTATCATAGTTGTTTGAGGCACTATGCTACAGGCCAGCAGGTCGTGGGTTAGATTTCTGATGAGGTAATTGGATTTTTTATTTGACCTAATAATCATTGCAGCCCCACTGTAGCCATGGGGTCGACTCACCCTCTAACAGAAATGAGTACCAGGAATCTTCCTGGGGTTAAAGGGCGGCCGACACGTAAGGCTGACAACATCGCCATCTGTGAGCCAGTTGCCTCGAAGATGTAGGAGCCTCACCATCTGACAACCCTATTGGCCTCCATGGCCTGTTACAGGGATAGCAGTAAACAGTAATAGCAACAAGGTTAGAAGAGATGATGACAGTGATTTGGCCATGTAGAAAGACCAAATAGAAGAAAGATACTGAGGAAGGCATTACACATAGACTTAAAATTTGAAGGATAGAGTTGAGTGGTTCACCTAGAACATGACTTCAGCCAGGATCATGAAGGCAGCCATAAGAGAGGAAAGGACAGACAAGAAGTGTAAAAGGAAGGGTTGTGGTAGGGAAAAAGAGGTGGAATTGGAGATATTTCTGTCAACCCATATGAAATGTAAATTATGCTAGCAGAGGAGGGTTGGGGGACAGGAGGAGAATTGGCTCCGTGAATTTAGGTGCCTCGATCCCTTCTTCAGATGCGTTGTTAATGCGAGGAGATATAAGATCTTGCATAATTTGTACTTGGAAATGTAATTGGCCTCTGCAAGCAGTTGCATAAGATTCTTTGAATTCTGGGTTGTGACTCCATATGTTGTGGTAGCTCTTTACTCATGTCTTTAAAGACTTAACTGAATCGTATCCCAGAAGACAACCTTTATATAGTCCCATAATTTAAACAATCATGTTAATACTGCTTAGCACTGTCCGCTTCGAAACTGCATTGGGCTATAGTCACGTGTTTGCCAGACATCTTTCCAAAGTTCTATTCTTTTAGACTGAATCCATAACATTCCTGTCTGCTTTTAGACATCTTTGCCTATATTGTGGTTGTAACAAGCGCTTGAGTGCATGCTTTGATATTTAGACAAAGTGTATATCTTGCCTACAGAGCACAAATAATAATAATACATCTATATTGGTGATATCGTGACATGTAGACCATTTGCCAAGTAACAGCTTGTAAACAGGTGACAGTACAACAGCTGTTGCTAAGGAACAGCCCTGTGGACACGATGTTCCACCTGCAATGAGAGAACACACAGTGATGGAAGCAGTGTTTTCTCTGCGGTCCATGCTGAGGCTATACATATAATGAGGACCAGCTGCCATTATGAAGCAGTCTTGAGACGGCAGTTAGAAGAGTATGAGGTTGGTGTGAAATGACCGCCAGCCTGCGAGGACATGAGCAGTTAGTCGAGAGTTGCAGACGCTGGTAGCTGAGGCTGGGGAAATTTCGGGAACCCCAGAGGAAGGGGAACGTCCACTCTTGGAAGTTGCTACTAAGCAACGGCTAGTTAAGACTGAGGAAACTTCTTGTGTGCTGCAGTTACGGTGATTTTCGGAGTGTAACTGACTGAGACTGTCGTAGTTATTTGTAGTTATGTTCTGTAAGTGTCCAGTAAATCCAATTACCAATCAATATCCTATCTGTAACCACTGTGTCATGTGACGGTATTCATGTTAGTACCACCAGGTGGATAGAGAGTACACAAATTTGGTATATCAGTCTGTCAGGATAGCCTTGAAACTTTGTGTATTGATGATGGAACCTGGGAACCAAAATAAGTGGGATAGTACTGACACCAGCGAGTTATAAGTATTACTTGTATTGCATGGCAGTTGTATGTAAACTGTGTTAAATGTAACGCAAATTGCGGAAGTTGATTTTTGTAGCTGAAGTCTAGATCCGACCCCCGTTACAGTCCTCTGCCGAAGCTGTGGCACACAGACTGTGCCAGAGATGATTAAATCATGGCGCCACCATAATCACTGCCGTTAAAACCTCAGATTACTGCTTCAGCCTTCTTTTATAAATGTTGGTGGGGTGTGGTGGAGAAGGATAGAGACCGTTATGCATCAGGGCCCGGATTTCGATGACCTAAAAATATTTAAAAATAACCTATAAAATGGCCGAAGAAAGTTCACAAAAAACGACCTAAAGTGTATTTTTAATCTTTACGAACACTGTGAACTCACCGTTACTCTTTTAAGCTCTTCCTCGTTTTTATATTGAAAATTAAGCAATATATGACTGAATTTGAAACTAAATATTTTAATACAATTTTTTCTACCATGTTGGAACGCTTATCAAATGTACATATACGGTATACCAGTATTTCAGTGTAACCTCATTCAGAGTTGCAATAGATGACGGTCAGCACGCGGAGATTCTTGAAAGTGAGAGAGCGCCTATTGTCTGACAGCACATACTTGTACTTGAAGAGACTCCTTTCCACATCTGCAGACAGTCGGAGCGTACTTGAAGTGTACCAAATCACTAGCAGTAAGTTCTTCAATACTGAAAGCGCTGAAGGACTCTCCTGTCAGAATTTGAGAAATGCTGCATAATGTTTCATAACCTAAGTTTTTATCTAAAACGTTTTTCATTTTTCTTGACACCATTTTACCACTGTCCCCTGACACTTTCTCCAAATCACTGGCTATATTTTTCACGAGATTGAGCGAATCTTCTAGCGTTTCTCCTTTCTCATGTATGCATTTGATTCATTCTGTCATGGAACTGAAATTTGCCTTTATGAAGGCCAGCTGTCCTTCCATTTCGCTGCACAAGAACTGTTCCTGAGCAGCTTCAGTTGCCCTCACATTTTCTGTCTTCATTGAATCTACGATGTTTTTCACTGCCTGAAAATGATAGCAAAAGGAAATTGTAGCATAAATCCATGTTCCCCACCTTGTGATGTCGGGTTCCGCGACCAGTGGAACACCAGGAGCTTAGACTTAAATTGCATTTTACGAGCTGGAGCCTTGATAAAAAATCTTCATCCACGACACGAGAGCATCCACTTGAGGAAATCTTGATCTCACTTCCTCCGTCACTCAATGCAGTGCATGTGCTAGGCAAGTAATGTGCACGAATTTCGTATAAAACGACTTATTGACTTGCCTGCTTTTAAAATATATGGGGCCGCATCGGTCACAAAAAGCAAGACATCATGTCGTATACCCCCTGGCGACTGTAGAAACTTCGACCTGTCAAGGAATTTACAACTTGTGGAATGATTAACAGATTCTAGCACCTCATCAGCAGAAACACTTCACCTGGTCCATCAGTTTCCAAGGTTCCGATGATTGCGTTTGCTACGTAGCGAGTCTCTGTATTGCGGGTCTCATCAAGAGAAATGAAAATCTTCCCATGCACTTTATTCCTAATCATTTCCAGGATATTGTTGAAGCACTTGGAAAGGTAGTTTCTCTTGAGGGTGGATTCATCTGGTATAGAACGACCACAATTCACTTCCAGAATTTGTTTAAGTTTTTCATTGTTCAGAGCCCAAAATGGAGTATTTGTGGACACCAGAGCATCACATAGATCTCTGAAAGAAATTCACTGGCTTCTTTCTGCCTTCAGATGAACACTGTTGCAAAAACATTTGCACAGATTTTTTTTTTTTTTTTTTTTCGAAATTTGCACTGCTCATGTATGCCTCTTGCCACCGATATGTTGTACCGTGAAACGTCTTTCTGCTGCTACTTTTGTGTCGCACGTCTTACAGTACAAAATGTCACTGTCAGTTGAAAATATATCATCTGCAAATTCATTTACAGTCTGTTTTAAATGACTCGATTCAGATGGCTCTGCTTTAGGCATCACGATAAAATGGAACACTCTAGCGCAACACAGAACTGAACTTTCCACACTGAGAACCTTTCGTCAGTTGTATCTTTGTACGGTCAAGGGCAAGAAACTGAAGACAGACGGAGTTTTATTGAGCAACAATATGTCGTAAGAAGCGAGGGATTCCGACTAGAAATATTTGTAACTGAGCAAATTCCTTTGCACAGAACTTGGAAAGAGCTGCAGTGTGAGTGACCGCTGTCATACCCTGCTGACAGCTTAAAATGTCTTATGATATGTAATGTCAGCACTTTCCACAAAACGAACAGAAAGGACAGGACAGTATTACAACTTATGATTGCATACTGTGGTAGCAGGTACTTGGGGTGCAGCAGCAGGCTGCCTGTGTAGAGGCAGGGGAAAGATAAAGAATACTTTACTTGCATATTATTCTCTTTTTCTGAAAACATATGAAGAGAAATTCCCTAACATGACAAAAATTCCCCTAAAAGTCCAAAAATTTACTGAAAAAATACCCCAAACCCGAAAAATGACCTGTAAAATTTATATTTCTGTAACCAGCAGCTCATCTCAAGGATTTATTTACTGTATTTACCGGCATCCCATAGGCTACAAAGAAAAAAAATGCCATATCATAAACATCTGGGCCCTTGTTGTGATACTATGATAAACATAAAGTTGGACTCATGATTGTGACCTGTGGTGGGCCACTTTTTGAAGAAAAAAAAATGCTACAGTGATATTAAAGTTGAAGTTGCCCCGTGCTTAACTAATGCTCATGATGGCATATTGGGGAGCAGACATGTAGATCCATGTTTTGTTGACCTTGGCTCTAGTTGGAAGTGGGTTATCAGCTTTAAGTCCTGGCCTCTTTAGTCTTGGGGAAAGAGTCCAAGGTACCCGTTGGATAGGAGGCTGGGTGGGCCCAGGAGCCAGTCTGGATGCTATGGAGAACAGAAATTTCTAACCCTGCTGACTAGGATGATGATGTAATGATAATGGTTGAAGTTTCTCATCACACCCAAATATAGCATCGTCGTGACTCACAGTGGGGTGTGGTGATGATGGTTTCAGCCTGTCACCCATCTCTTGATATTCTGTTCATGCAGTTTTAATGTGAAGAGGTCCAGATTTGATTTTTGTAATCATTTAACTTAACTAAGCAGGAAAGTTTTATTATGTGTTCGATCAGTTATTAATATATTCCCACAGTAATAAGCTGGAGTGGGAACTGCATCGATTTTGTGAAGATGAATTGGTTAATCTGTCAGTGTCTAGTTTTGTGTGTCATATGTGTCATCACTGTTCCTCTCCCAATACCTCTCACGAGGTTTTTCAGAATGAGAAAGAGAAGTGACGTGCATATGCTCAGACACTGCAATGTGCTGTGAACCGCACATGTCCAGTTCTAGTTGCAAAGCTTAAGCACTTTGTCATCATGTCTTGTTATGTACAGAATTCTGTAATTGTCATGAATTTAATTAAACGGGGTTGTCTTTAGATGTTCAGATGTTGATTTAAATTAGTTACAGCTTTTATGAATATGACACCACATAGCTCGGTACATCGGTTTTCTTGAAAACTTGGTATGTGTCCAACAAACTGGGCATTGTATCCCAGAAGAAATTGTAACATACCACCATGAGAACCGCAAATCCCAACAGTACATTCAAGAGCAGTATTGCCAAGCGTGCCAGCAGGGTCTTTTTTATGCTGGGTCTGGGGCTGATTTGCTTACAAACTTAACGTTGAGCCATTTAGGGCATAGGTAAAGCTATCCCCTTAACAGGCCGTGGAAGCCTGTCAAGGCTCCAACAATATCTAGACAAGTGGCTCACAGATGACAGTGAGGTCATCATCCTTAGGCTCTGGTCGCCCTTAACCCCCAGGAAGAATCCTGGTGTTAATGTCTTAGAGGCAGGGTCGAGCCCAGGGCCATAGTGCAGCTAGAAGGATCAGATCAGTTGAAAAATCTAGTGACCTCATCGGAAATTGAACCCACAACCTTCCGCATTGTAAAGAATAATTAAAAGAATTACTTTAGTTTTTGGTGTTAATATAAGGCATATTCTTCAATTTTAAGTTTTCCCTCCAAATGCAGAGGGGCAGGTGCCTGGCTTGACACACGTGGGCATGTGTGCGCGCGCCAATGGCCATAAATATTTGCAGAATCGTTTTGTGTAGTGTGAATGCTCTAGGTTCATACTCAGGAGGTGCTTTGTTCAGATCTCGCCTGTTTAGAATTTGAGGTTCTCACATCAGTGCTTATGCAGATTTCTGTCTTTGAGGATATAATGTCATGTAGTTCGTTGAAAGTCAGCCAGCGTTTCTGTCGAACGTGTTTCATCCATCTTTGGGGCTGAAGAATAAACCAAGCAAGAAACCTGGGATGGTGGCTATTATTTTAGAGACCAGAAATTGGCAGGGAAGGGCTGGTGGATTATTGTCTGTTTCTGTTTGAGCAACAAATAGCTGTTGTAATCCCAAATAACTGATAATCTCGATTTAAACCCTGGTAGCTCTCAAACATTCAGTGATCACAGAGTGGTGATTTTTTTTTCCTTTCCCTGTTGGAGCTATGAAGCTAATAGCCAGAGTTCAATTAATCACACTCCATTTCACAGTTTGTTTTCTGATATTGTTTTGTGCTGGAACAAAGAGAGATTATTTCACATCAGTGAACTGAAGCATCCCCTCTTTTCATTTCCCATTTTTGTCATTGTGTAACAAATGCATGCATCTCACTTATTTGCAGCTGTTGTCTTGGGGTACTCTCAGCACTGACTCAGATGTAATGCCGCTGTGTAGTCTGGTAAAAGTGGTACTGGGAGCAGAACAGACTGCCTCCATCTTCAAGTTCAGAGAGTAAGCCATGCAAACAAGAAGCACGCAGGCCTGGCTGCCTATTTATCATTGTGTCCCCACCCAAAATATTTTTGGTTTCTATGGAGTCCATGTTGTGTCAGAGGAAAGTGTGTGATCAGTTCTTCACAGAACTTCATGTATGCTGTTCATGTGGTGAAATTTATTCTTTCTTCATGGGTTCTTTTACACTGCCATCAGGTAGTTGGAATGGATTTAGAAGGTAGCAGTCATGGCCATATTTATGCTCTGACCTGACATTGGCATGGAGGGACTGAGGAGGACAGGATAAACCTTACAGTAGCCTATGGTAAAGCTATCCCTGTAACAGGCCCATAGGATTGTGAGACCTTGAGGGTGCCACATTTTCTAGACAGATAGGCTCACAGATGGTGGCAAGGTTGTCAGCCTTACACCCCGGCTGCACTTTACTCCCCAGGAAGATTCCTGGTACTCATTTCTGTTAGAGGCTGAGTCGACCCCAGGGCCATAATGCTGCTGGAAGGGTCAGGTCATTTGAAAAACTCCACCTCATCGGGACTCGATCCTGCTGCCTTCTGGCTTGTAGCGTAGTGCCTCAACCATCTACCCTACCGTGTGCCCCCCATCGTAGCCTATGTCCCAGTGAAAAGTTGAACTGGGTACCTTTTGTGTACAACTACAGAGTGTAATGCTTCCCCAACCCATCCAGTAATACTACTGCTCTTGAAATGTTATGTTAGTACACTGCTTGCTCATACTTGTAAGTTCCTTCGTTTAAGACAGGCGGATAACATAGACATTTCCTGGGATAGCATTATTGTTCTTCTGCAATTTGGTATGTTGATGAGGATAATATAAATATGTCTGATATGCTATTAATTAACACACTTTTGTTTCAGTCAAGAAGTTTAAAATAATGTAACATTAGGGGTTTGTGTGACTTAAAATGGGTTTTGGATTTGATGGTTGAATTTATTGGACCTTTATAAAACTTGTTACGACATTTCACAAATCACTGTCTTCGACTGGACACATTCAGCTTCTGACCACAGTACTCCAATCCGCTAGTCCTACTGAACTGCCAATGACTGTTGGCGTCTCATTACATAGCCTTGGGTCAGACCACGCAGAAAACATTTATTATATTATATATGTATTATATATAATATTATATTATATCTAATAAAAGTAATGGAAATCAGGCATTTTGTTTAACATGTTGTGTGGTTGCCATCCACGGGAGTCATTTCTTCATTCAAGGAAGGTTTTTTTGGTTCATATCTTTAATAACTGTGATTGTGTGTTTTTTCTGTTGAAAACTTCTTTAATTGAATTAATCCTTTTCTATTTTTTCAGGTAGCAATCAAAATAATAGACAAAACACAATTGAATCCTGGCAGTCTACAAAAGGTAAAATTATTTGCATTAATAATTTGTTTAGTTGATAAGGCCATAAGCAGTGCCACCTGTAGTCTGGCATGATGTGATATAGTATTGTTCTCGTAAATTTATATGAGAGTTTTTTGCTTTTACATATGGAATTGTACTGTAAGCAGCTCATGAGAGTCATACTCAAAATGAGAGGCTCTAAATTAAACAAGTTATGAGTTGTTACATTTTTGTTGCATGCAAAAAATACCTTTAATAAATTTTTCCTTTCACGGATTTTCATGAAGGTAATGAATATTCTGTTACTGAAGTGAAATTATCCTTCATAAAGAAAGTGGGATCAGGAACAGAGTTGTTACTAAGTTTCATTAACCATTGTTTATGGCAGGTATCATTGCTTTTGAGAGTAGGAACAGGTTAGCTGTGCCACTGCTGACAGGTGTTTTGTCTGGTACCATCGTGCTGTGACTCCTTAGAAAATATCTGGAATATGTTATAATTTTCTTTTTTCCTTGTGTAACAAATGTATCCTACAATAAAATATATAAATCAGTTCAATTTTAATAGTGTGGGAATTCTAATTGACTTTAATTTTAATTTTTACAGCTTTTTAGGGAAGTTAGGATAATGAAGATGCTAGACCATCCAAACATAGGTAAGCTATTCCAGGTAACATAACATAAAACGTATTAAAATTGATTTGAGCTACTTATTCAGAGTCCTATACTGATCCTAGGCTCTATTTATGAAGGTTCATGTTAATTTAATGAAAACTGCTGTAACACCTAGGATTACTGGGTTTTTGTACTTTGTCCATTATCTGGTATTTTAAACTGAATCTGTTTCCCATTGCATCACCTGAGGATGGAAACACATCCGGTTTCCAAGACAGTGTGTTCTTTAGACTACCAGAGAGTAAGTGGACGGAGTTCAAAAACCTAGCAATCACAAGTGTTACAGTCATTGGAACCCTTTAGAATCTAGAGTAACACAGTGGGCGGTTTCAGCATGTGTTGTATAGGTTCTGTACTGTTAATTTGAACTGCCTTCTTCAGTATGCCTTTCCAGCCCTACCTGATATCAAATTATAAGTTGATGATATTTGACACCATCTCCCAGACATAACATGTAGAAATAGTCAGTCATAACTAACTTCATGGAGCTGAACCCTTCTTAAGAAGCCACCAGTTGTGCATCTACTCAAGAATTTTCCAACATTTTATGGCACCCGAGCGTTCAATACTGTGTTCACAGGAGCCTTTCCACTGGTCCCTATCCTGAGCCAGAATTATCCAGTCCATACCACCCAATCCTATCGCTCTTAAGATCTATTTTAATGTTGTCCACCCATCTACTTCTTGGTTTTCCTATTGGTATCTCTCCTTCTGGCTTTCCCACAAATATCCTATATATATATATTCCTCTTCTCCCATTCGTGCTACATGTCCTGCCCCTCTCATCCTCCTTGACTTGACCATTCTAATTACATTTGGCGATGAGTACAAGTTATGAAGCTCCTGAGTTTGCAGTTCTCTCCAACCTCCTGTCACTTCAACTCTCTTTGGTCCAAATATTCTGCTCAGCACCCTGTTCTCAAATGCCCTTAGTCTGTGTTCTTCCCTTAATGTCAGAGGCCAAGTTTCCCACCCATGCAGAACCACAGGCAAAATTATAGTTATGTATGTTCTAATTTTTATGTTTATAGACAGCAGGTGAGGCAAAAGGTTCTGGCCTGAATGGTAGCAAGCATGACCTGAGGTCGGTCTCCTTTATTTCCTCCTGAATCAAGTTTAACAGTCAGTCATAAACCAAATGATATACCACACATCACATATCAACATCAAAATGCAGGGCTATTGCAAATGACTTATACACTGTTGGTCACAAAGCTCGGAAAGTTACAGTGAGTGTCTGCATAACCCTGAGCTTCAGCAACATGTTTTGCACATATTATATCTTGTGGTTTTGGTTACTGATAAGCCATTGTAAAGACAGCAACTCACATGACACCTGATGGCCAGGGTTGGAGTTATGTCACCTCTCAACAGAAACTAAGTGTCCTGTTTCTTGCAGTGAAACTGTTTCAAGTAATTGAGACAGAGAAGACACTGTACTTAGTGATGGAATATGCTAGTGGAGGGGAGGTGTTTGACTACCTGGTGCTGCATGGCCGAATGAAGGAGAAAGAGGCTAGAGCAAAGTTCCGACAAGTAAGTGCTAAGTTTAAATGTTGATGTCAGATATTATATTGTGCTTCTTTTCATCTTGGTGAAACTTAAGGCTGTATGTGGAAAATAAAATGTTTTTGTGTGGTGGTGTATTTGGTTGAGGCACTGTGCTACAAGCCTGAAGGTCATGGGTTCGTTTCCCAATGAGGTCACTGGATTCTTCAATTGACCTAATCCTTCCAGCCACGCTATGGCCCTGGTGTCAACTCGGCCTCTGACAGAAATGAGTGTCAGGAATCTTCCTGGGGGTAAAGGGCAGCTGGCTGGCATGTAAGGCTGACAACATCACCGCCATCTGTGAGCCAATTGTCTAGAGAATGTGGGAGCCCTGATGTCTCACAAACCCTATGGTCCTCCATGGCCTATTACAGTGCATGACTTGAGCTTTCAGAATTACTCCATATACAATGTTGAACCTTTTAAAACATTTCAGCAGGTAATGCTGTTGCTATCTTCAGGGTTTGGGGAGCCTTTGGAAGCCTTTATAAACATCTTGTATATAGTGGTGAGTGGGAGGTGAAGCCATGATCAGCCAGAACAGAACTGCAGGATGGTGTACAGTAGGGTGTGACCATATGGTTAATGAAAAGAGGCAGTAGAAGATGTTTTAGTAGCCAGGTTGTCCTGAAAAGAAGCGAGGAGAAAATGTTTCAGTGATCCCAAATTGGGGACAAGAAGTGATGGAAGAATTCTCTAACCCTGGAGATTGCTGTTTGCTGAAGTGCTTGAAAACCTTCAGAATATCTTGAAAGCTGAATTTGTACTTTGTACTCCAGTTGCACAAACCTAAGGAGAATTTTGGTGATACTGCTCTCCTTACCTCAGAGCTATGGACGCAATCCCAAGTGAATTTGTTGAGGAATGACACTCAGAATAATACAAATAATTTTACTCATGTAATTAAAAACAGAATATTGGGAATGAGGATTCAAACATCATCAAGAAAACATCTGCCATGGTATTTTTAACAGCTGGGGGTGTGAATTTCATAAACCTTTGGGTGTTCTCTGTTAGGCCCACACTTGCTATCCTTGTCATTATCACTAGACATGGAAATTAAGAATGAACGTTTCTCATGTAATTAAAAGAAAGGACTAGACAGGAGGATTTGAATTGCATTGAAAAACTCTGTCACAATAGTTGCACTTTGCTTTAACAGCTGTGGCTGGAAGGAGTGTATACTAAATGTATGGTGTATTTTAGTGTTCTTTATTAAACAGAAAATGACAGAAGTCTTATGTTTATATATAATAGGTGAAGGTGGTGATGCCATAACTGACTGACTGGTACAACTGTGAAGTAAGAACAGAGAATTACTTTTATTCATAAAAAACTAATATCTTTTCTATAGCACAGAGAAATTCTGTATTTCAAAATGACAGTTCTAAGAAATGCAGTTATCTTTTTGTAGCTGGAAATAAACTAGTGAAATAGGTATTTGTAATTTTTATTAGGTGAAATACAATAATCTTTATTAAATTCATGACCGTTATATGTTTTACGGATATCGTGTTATGAGTTGACCCTGTACACACTTACCACAACAGTTTGCTTGTAAATTCAGTACAAACCACAATTAGCTTTTCAGCCAATTTCAGTGCCTTTTGGATCATAGTTCATAAACCACTGCCACTTGTGTGTCTTTTTTAAATGTAGTCTGTTCACCTCGGCTCTTGTTGTTTATCTGCTATTTATTGAGAGTTTAGAAATTGTACTGATTTCATTGCCCTGCTATTGTGTACATACATAATAAGGAAGGACTAACCAACCATAAATGAACAACATTTTAATCAAAGCAATGTAATGAGGAATTATCTTTATTTGTATCAGCACAGCTTCCCTACAGATACTATATAGGTTAATTAACTGCTGTGTGTTTCAGTCCTATGGCCTTTGTCAGATATGCACATGCAGTATTGGCTGCAGGGCACAGCAGTGAATGTGCACACCAGACAGTGGCTGAGAGGCTGAAACGTGCAGTGTATATATACAGACATTATGTAACCAGAAACTGTGGTACAGTATTCAGTGTGATGAGGAGCTCTGTGTTCTGGGAGGCAACAGCCAGCCTGTAGTTTGGTTAAAGTCAGCCATTCCTTTGGAGGAACACATGAAGAAGGGTGCTAGCAGAGCCTCCATGCTGATTTCTTGTCTGTCTTGCTCTTGAGCCTGAAGATGGGGGTTATGTGTTCCTCTGGAATGTTGGGTGATGTTCACCACACTGCCTGGCATCATATCCCAGAAGGTAGAACTCTTCGTAGGAACTGTGCGAGAACTTCAGATCCAGAAGTACGCACTTTTTGAACTCACACTAAAGAAATAAACATCAGTGGGCGAGAGGTACTGGATGCAGTGGCTTGCAGAGTGTGGTCTGAGGGACACAGTGAGGATGGCTGACAATCCAAAACACATCTGCTTGTGAATTTATACAGGGTGTTCGGATGAAAGGTATCCAAAATAAAATAATTATATGTCAGAAAGCTTTTATTATACACATTATGGGTTATAACATTTACTCACTTACGGGGCTCAGTCCTTGAGAAGCTGCCATTTGTGCAGCTACTCAAGAACTTCCCAGCATTTTATGGAACCCTAAGGTTCATTACCATGTTCACAAGAGCCTCCCACTGGTCCCTATCCTGCTCCAGATCAATCCAATCCATACCATCCCATCCTATAGTGTTACACCATTGCAAAAGGAGACTATCAGAGTTCCTTTCTGAGTGTATAACTTTCTCAGTAAATTTTAATATGAGCTTCCTTGGTGGCACAACAGATATCCATACTATGTTTGACCTCGTTTCATGTTGATTGAGGCATGTTTGGTGTTAACGTACCCACAACGCCCCTTATGCAGGCTTTCAGGCGTTGAAGGTCATTGATCTTAACCTGGCAGACAGTGTTCTTCGCATAACCCCACAAGAAAAAATCTATTTTGGTTCAGTCTCGTGACCTAGGAGGCCAAGCTATTGGTACACCTCTGTGGATCCATCTCCCAGCCATCTCTTTATCCAGGTGATACTTACATGGTGGCAGAAATGTAGTTGTGCCCCATCTTGTTGGAGGATAGTTTGAGGTAGTAGTTGGGGCAGCATATACAGCTCCAGCATGTCCACATATGAACGCCCCGTCACAGTCTTCTGGAAAGAAAAACTGTCCAGTCAACTTGTCATTAAGCTGGCCCACACATTCACTTTGGGACTGCCTATCTCCAACTCACATGTGACATGTGGATTTTGACTGCCCTGAATCCTGCAGTTGTACCTGTTTACAGTTCCATTGACATGGAATGTCTCCTCGTCCGAGAAGACGCTTCGTGAAAGAAATCGGGTGACACATCAGTTCTTTCTAGCATGTCCATAGTGAAGTTTGTGCGTGCTACTTTGTCACCTGGTTTTAGTGCATGAATCATTTGAATCTTGCACACTCTTGGGCGTAGCCTTTTGTGTAGCACATCATGCACTGTTGAATGTGGAATTTGTAAGTGGAATCTAGCCGCATAAATTGATTTGCACTGACTTCGCTGGAATGCCTCTCAGTGTAATGTGATTTACATTTTCTTCAGGGGTCCATGTCTTTCCAGAAGATTTTGCATGCAACAGACTGTGTTCCTGAATTTGTTGTCCAAAAACTGAATGCTTTCCCATGTTAGAGGTTGATGTCCATACATATTGCATTCTAAAATGACCCTAGACAGCCATAAGAGATTGCAACTCTGCTAGCCATGACATTCATTGAACCTGTTCCTGTAGTGTCGACATGCACATAAACCAAGCATGAAAAGAAACTTCCAGGGGTTTCTTTTCTGATGACATAAACCAGATATGTATATGAAAATTAGTTTCCAGGATATAATTTTTTTTTTATTTTGGGTACCTTTCATCTAGACACCTGTATGTAAAGAAGTATGGTAAGTATAGGTGCTGAGTTACCACAGATAATCTAATGTACAAGGAATTTATTTATAGGTTTGAGTTTAGAACCTTTTACTTCATAATTTCATTTTGCAGCATGAAAGTTATCATGTATTCTGTGAAGCTGATATTAAAAGAAAGTTTTTTTTTTTTTTTCAGATTGTTTCCGCAGTACAGTATTGCCATCAAAAGAAAATCATTCATCGAGACTTGAAGGTAAATTTTCACTTCAGTCATGAAATTACTACAGAGTCTTTTTAACATAGAAAGCTCAGAAATTAAAATGCTTTTCCCCTGTCTCCAATACGCCCATTTTAGAGGCATGTGCAAGAATGGTTTTTTCCTTCTCAAATTGAGATCGAGACACGAATTACGAAACCTTTTGAGCATCAAGTGGTGAACAAGTATTTTCTCTATTAGGCCAGTTTGTTCACTGCAAGCACTATTTTTTACCTTTGGACATCCGCTCCTTTTCAACTAAACATTTTTGTGAATCATTTATATAGAAATCATTTCTGTGTCCATGGCCATTTTCACTATGGGCTAAAAGGAGAAGAGAGATTTTGTTGATGAGTTGAATTGTGCCAGTGTTGCCAACCATTATTATTCTGATGGATCTTGCAATTTCTGTGCTACTGCTTAAAGCAAAAGCAATTATCTATGAGGGTTGGTACTTTAATAGTGGCAACACTGCTGTAGAGACGCCATGCAACGGAACCAAATAATGTCACATACCACACGTTAGTTACATACCTACCTTACCTCAGAGCAAATGGACTCTCCCTTCCCACATCACGCACATGCACAGTGACGAGAAGAACAGAGCCTCGTGTTAGCTGGCGGTCTAATGTAGTGTTGTCACGATGTTTTAGAAAAGCAGTAACAACGGAGTTGGTTAAGACTGAATGTGCCAGAGGCCGTACAGCACAACAGTGTCATCAAGGTCTTCAAGAGGCTTGCGGGAAATCTGCATTGCCTTACAGAACAGTGGCAAGGTGGGTAAGAGCCTTCAACGAGGGACACCAAAATGTGGCAGGCGTGCGTCAGCCAGGTCGTCCTAGTGTCAGTGAAGAAGTGTATGCTCTTTCCGCGTTACGGGAGAGTGATCGATGCCATGCGATTTGTGAGCTGGCCCGAGAGACAGGATTAGCGCATACGGCTGTGCTTCACATTCTGAAGGAACGCCTGGGCAAGAGAAAAATTGCATCACGATGGGTTCCGCATGATTTGACGGAAATGCAGAAATGGCAAGCTGTGGCTGATTTATTTGATCAGTGGGGCTGGGAAGTGCTGTACCATCCGCCATACTCCACGGATTGAAGCCATTTTGACTTCGACTTGATTCCTAAGATAAAGGAACCACTTCGTGGCATTCGCTTCAGAACTGTTCCAGAGATTCTTCAAGCAGTAGACCGCTCCATTTGAACTATCAACACTACAGGCATGGCTAAAGGTAACTTACGACTTCCACATCGCTGGCAATAGGTTGTACACAATGCTGGTGACTACATTGAAGGATGGTAAAACTTCGAAACATGCATGTATTTTCTATAAGTTGTAAATAAATAGTTGCCACTATTAAAGTTCCAAGCCTCGTATAAACATTCCTGAAGTTGGAGAGTAACAAATCAATGTTTTAATTGAGATCAACTTTCTTTTGTTGATTTTACTTAAAATATTAGAGACTTGCACATGTCTACCATCTGCACATATCCTTATGTGGTTTTGTTTCCTGTTGCATGTACCAGCAGTGTGGGTTCTCCTCATATATGTTAATTCTTTGACTGTGATGCCTCACTACAAAACTACCTGTTAGAATGACCATGGCTGCTTGGGGATAAATGCACTTGCACAGAGAAACCCATAATGCTTATCATATTACCTTCACTTGACAACACATGTAGACAGTATGAAAGTGTATCCTTTCTTCTCAGCTTCAGTGTACCACACTTGATGCCATTTGTAGATGGAAGCCCTGTAGTAAGTGATGCACATTGATCTGATAACTTCAGCTGTGGCTGTTTTATCGCGTGTAGACTGAGCCAGTCTTATTGGCTGCTGACTGTAACCGTTGTTTCCAGCATGCAAAAATTACCTATTCATTACAGAATATGGTCTCTCCTTCACTCCGAAGGCTCGTTTGATATCGTATACAAACTCAAGTTTTGTGTGTAATTTAAAGTGTGGTACATGTGTTATATTGACCTTTTTTTTTCTGAAATTTCCTCACATGCTTTTTAATTTAGAATGAACAGTTCAAATTATTAAGCAGCATTGTCGATTTCTATGTTGCCATCACGTGTTCGCAGGAGCTTTTATAATGAATTGTTTGCTTGCAACTTCTGTCTAGTATTTATGCAGGAATGTCATAACATTCTGCTTTTTTCTAACCTTTATAAAATTTTTGTTTTATATGTTTGCACTGAACTTTTTGTAATGCTCTAGACTTCTGTTTTGAGATGTGCTCATTTGAATGTGAGTTAGAGCACCAGCTATCTTGACAAATTTGTATGGGCTTCCTCAGTCCCTCCAGGAAAATGCCAAAATAGTTCTTGATTAGACCATGAGCACTTCTTTCCAAATCTTTTCCAGTTTGTCATTCATTTATTATACTGTTCAGCACTGTGTAGTCTAGATCTTCAGGGACGGCCCTGTTATATCTGTTTCATGTACAGAAACCGAATTCATAGTGAATAAATTTACTTGTATGTCTTTTGTGGTGGTTGTGTTATACTGAAGGGTATTTCCTGCTTATTGTCCCACTTTCTCCTCCTTTGTTTTCAGGCACATGGATGGCTGTGTTTTCATTTTTAATTTAATGTTGCAGGCAGAGAATTTGCTGCTGGACAGTGAGATGAATATCAAAATAGCTGACTTTGGGTTCAGTAACGAATTTACACCTGGTAACAAATTAGACACATTCTGTGGCAGCCCACCGTATGCTGCACCAGAGTTATTCCAAGGTTAGTATGCAAACGGACATTTCATAAAGCTGTATGACGATTATTGTCTTTTGAGTTGGCTTTCATGTTTTGTGTAGGTAAGTATCACCATTTTGGAGGAATGTCCTGCATCCACTGTATAATGTTCAACCTTGAAGATGGAGGCNTCATTGTCTCCACTGAAGCGTTATATGATCTGTCATGTTTTGCAAATCTCAAGGGCATTTTGTGGTTTGTCCCAAATTCACCCTCAGGAGTGGTTGACATTTGACCTAACTTCTTTGGAACCTGTCTTGTGCCCACATTTTGAGAGTGAAGGTGATCATGAATGCTTCTACACTGCTGACACTCATATTCACTTGTAAGATTTCATTTGTAGAAATGTTGCAGTTATTCAGAATAATCTGTTCACCGCTGGAACAAGTGGTAATGCTTCTTACCTGTATTTGAGAGGTACACGTTTTTAATTCTGGTAGCATAGTCGGTATAGTGACTGGCTACAGATCGGATGACTGAAGGGTTGGTGTTTGAGTCCTGGTAGAGTCAAGAATTTTCTGTTCTTCATGTCATCCAGACTGTCTCTGGGGTCCACCCAACCTCCTTTCCAGTGGGTACTGGGGGCTTTCCCCAGTGGTAAAGCGGCCAGGGAGTGAAGCTGACCACTCACCTTCGGCTAGTGCAGAGGTCAAGAAAATGTGAATCCACTCCCCTGTACACCTTCATGGCATAGTGTTTAATTAATTAAGTGCAGAGATAACATTACCTTTCGCTTTACTGTTTACTTCCAAATTTTCCTGCGTTCATTGTTCATTATCGAGTTGCTCAGTGTTACATATTCTTGAGTTACTGACAGTGGCAGCTGGCAATTAAAATCACAGAATTGACTGGTGTTTGTGGCTGTGGGGAAATGTCCACTGTGTTAGGCTGTCCATGATGCACTTGTGCACCTTTAATTTTGACAATGCAGCTTCCCACAGTTACGAGGTGCTAGCGGAAAGTTCATAGGCTAGGTCAGCAAAGAAATTCCGGCTTAACTGACTCAATTTTGGCAGCCATCTCCTTCAAAATAGTCACCTTTTGAACATATGAGGGGCAGTCGAATGAAAACAGGTCAGAAGCCAAAACATATTAAAGAACGTTTCTCACCTCAAAAGTAATCTCCAGAACTGTTAATACATTTTTCACGCTGGGAGATAAGACTTTCTATCCCATCCTTGAAAAAGCATGTGGGCTATCTACAGAACCACATCTTTACCCAGCCACACACATCTTCGTCCAGTGCAAACTGATGTCCACAAATGTGTCTCATCTGGTCTCCGAAAATGTGAAAATCACATGGGGAGAGATCTGGGCTGTAAGGGGGATGTTGAAGCACTGCCCAACCAAATGTCTATAGCGTAATCCTCACAGAGTTGGCAGTGTGGGGGTACACATTGTCATGAAGAAGGGTAATGCAGTTCGATGGCATGTCTCAGTTTCTGCAAAGTGTCTTCATAGCGCTGTGCACTGATTGTGGCCCCATGCTCGAGAAATTTGACAAGCAGAGGTCCCTTGCAGTTGAAGAATGTCATCACTTTACTGGAACTTGTGTCTATGGCTTTGGATTTCTTCGATGGGGGAGGATTCATGTGTTTCCACTATTGGCTCTGCCGCTTGCTCTCGGGTTCAAAATGCTGGCACTAAGTTTTGTCCCCAGTAGCAATATGGGACAGAAAAGCATACAAGACTAATTTCTTCCACAGTGATCCGTCAGTTTGCCTGGATATGACCATCCGGTGCAGCAATAACATCAGGAGTGATGACACCACGAGCCTGTCCTGGGCGAGCATCATCTTGCAGTGACACAAGTCCCTCTCGGAATCTCTTATTCCATGCCACATCAGCGCACGTGAACTTGACATGCTGCGTTCACCCTAAACAATAGATATGTGACGACGAATTTCTCGTCTTCGTCCTACTCCTTCAGTAGTCAAAAAGTGCACTACACTTCGCTGCTGTTCTTTACCCGCCTCCATTAATGATGTTGGACGACCACATGTAGCACTAACCTTACTTCCAGCACAATAAACGAACGACTAGTGTGCAAGAGCACACTGTCACTGTGTTTACCCGAGTCCCCACCAGATGTTTGTACTGTAAGCAAATTCCAGTGTTACCAACTTGCGCGCCATGTGAGTTATGCATGGTGACCCGTTTTCATTTGACTGCCCCTTATATATAGTGATTCCATTGTGTTTTCCACAATTCAGAAGTGCTGTGGAAGTCATTTCCCTTAATGCTGTCTAGTCCTTTTGAATGTCAGACACTGTTTCAAAATATCATCCCTTCAATTTCGTTTTCAATTTGGGAAACAAAGCAGAATCATAAGGTGCTGACTCCAGTTAGTAGGGAGGATGGAGAATGATAACCATGTTGTTGTTAGTTTCAGACTCTATGGTTTTCAGGGACGTGTGGGCAGGCGCGTTGTCATAATGAAGGAGCCATTTGTTGTTGCGCCAGAGTTCTGGTCTTTTTCATCACACATTTTCTCTTGAGCCTCTCAAAGGTCACAGTAAAAGTCAGAGTTGATTGTAGTGTTTTGGAGGAAGAGAGTCCCGGTGAACAATCCCCTTCATGCCAAAAAAATAAAATGTGCATGCTCTTTGTTGAACTCTGGACCTGCTGCGCCTTCTTTGCTCATGGTGATTGGGGGCTCTTCCACTGCGACAGCTGTTGTTTTGTTTCTGGGTTATAATCGTAAATCCTACTTTCGTCGCCTGTTATGATCCTAGAGATACAAGCTGGGTCCTCATTAGACTTCTCGTAGCTCAAGGCACACATTTACACACCGCTGATTTGATCATCTATCAAGAGTTGGGGAACAAACTGCATGCTGGTGCTGTGCCTGTTCAAATTTTTGTTACGATCTCCTGGCAAACTCCATAACTGATCCCAGCGGTGTCTGCAAGCTGATGGATTGTTCAGCAAACAGTCTTCATGATGAGTTATGGAATTTTTTCAACAGTTTCGGCCATTTTGCTGGTGCTTGGTCAGCCTGAACTTTTTTCATCTTTAGCTGACATTCAACAAGCCTTGAAATGTGAATGCGATTCAGAAACTGCTGTCTAGCTTAAAGAATGTTCTCCAAAAGCCTCACAAAGCATTTCAAAGGTTTCAGTAGCGTATTTACCGAGCTTCACACAAAACTTGATGCTGACATGTTGCTCGACTTTGCCATCCATCACAGACAAAACAAAACATGAATTTGAAGAAGCACTAGTGTAAAAACAGTGCATGTTCACAGTGCAGTGTCAAATGGCAAACTGATGCAATAAGCTTTCAGAAGTGTGACTTTGGTCTCCCTTCTCATCTTTCACTGAGGCAGTTCCAACAATGACATTCCAGGAACTTTCGGATAGCACCTCGTATTCTCTTAGCCTTCATGCTGGTTGCTTTCAAGTCGTCGTCCACCAAAAATTTGATTAAACATGGCAGCTTTACTCTCTTAGTGACTTCGACAACATTTTCATCATAGTTCATGAGAAGCAGTGAATATTCTGTCAAATATGAACTGTCTGTGTATGCATAAATATGCTGGTACAGTTGAACAGGCTAGCGTAGCAGTAACAGTTTGGACTTGCATTCTTGAGGTTCTTGGTTTGGTTTGTAACCAGGTCAGTGGCTCTCCTGATTGAGGTTTTTTCATAATATGGTTTCTTCCTTTCAAATCCCTTCCAATTCATCATTTGTCATCCTACCATTTTATGCTGTACAGTCCAGATAACTAACTTCATGGAGCTGAGACCCTCTTGAGAAGCTGCCAAGTAACTTCTTGGATTCATGGAGCTGAGGCCCTCTTGAGAACCTGCCAGTTATGCAGGCACTCAGGAACTCATTACCTTGTTCACAGGAGCCCTCCACTGGTCCCTGTCCTGACCCAGATCAGTCCAGTCCATACCATCTCATCCTGTCTCTGTAAGATCCATTTTCATATTATCCACCCACCTGTATCTTGGCCTTCCTGGAGGTCTCTTTCCTTCTGGCTTCCCCTGGCAATTGCTCGTTGACGGCAACTGCCTCACGTTCTCGGCTGACTTAAGAATCCCATTGATTTTCCTTATATAGTGTTGGCATGGACCACATATAAAACAACTCCTCTAACAGTGCTGTCAGTTGGTGCATTTGTATATGTTCCCACAGAAACGTGTTTATTAAGTCATTACCGTGCAAGGGACCATGCAAAAATGTCACCACATGTTCTGGTATTTGTTACGCTTTTGCTTCTGGGTTTTTTTAAACACACACACACACATATATATATATATAAGGGTAGATGTATATATGTAACTGTTGTAGTTAGTTATGTATCCTTGATGGAGTGAGGAACTGCTCTGAATGAAAATAGGATGTAGCCTCTTTGTAATCCCATCTCCTCTGATCAAATCTTGATTTTATAGTCATCACGTTAGCCATGTATCATTTCTATAAAAATCCAGTTTGATACAGAAATATTAAATTGTCTTTAAATTAACCAGGCATTTGGTTACCCAATTTTAAATTCAGATGATGGCTTCCTGGTTTTTAGGAACCATGTTGTCTCAAAGATAACTTTTTGGATGAACTTGCTGCCTCCATGATTGGGACTTTCTTCTAACCTGAAGATGAAGGAAATAGGTTTCTTCAAACCACTGGTAGATCTCTACCAGACTACACAGTGTTACATCTTAGAAACTTCTTGACAAGGCAGCCTCAATTGTCAGCCCTAAGTAGTTCTCCCACATCAGATGCATTGAGCTGTATGGATAGGATGTGTTTAAATTCTAGAAAATGTCAGAATTTATAAGTTCCACTCCTGTTTAGGGAGATTGAAGCAGGTAACTGAGAATTGATGTGCTCTAGTTCAGAACTTTATCCATGTAGGTTACTTTTTGTTGATGAAAACATTAATTGTATTTTGTGTGATATTTTGCAGGGAAAAAGTATGATGGCCCAGAGGTGGATGTGTGGTCACTGGGGGTGATCTTATACACGCTAGTGAGTGGATCATTGCCATTTGACGGCTCCACGCTTAGGGAACTCAGGGAAAGAGTACTGCGCGGGAAATATCGGATACCATTCTATATGTCAACGGACTGTGAAAACCTCCTTAAGAAATTTTTAGTATTAAACCCAGCGAAAAGGGCGTCCTTGGAGGTAAAGTCATTCTTGCTGTTCTGATGTAAATTAACTTGTCTGTGTCTTGAGAGATATAAGTATAACTCCTGGCTGGATTATGAAGGATATTTAAATTCTAAAGAAGAAAAATGCAGCAACTAACGAATTGCCATGAAGGGCTACGGTTTTTGGGATGTGATGCAGTGTAGTCTAGTAGATCAGATCAATATTTACAAGTCATCTGCTCCCACTGTCATCAGGTGTACCCTGTAAATGAAAGAAGGAAAGTTCTACCAAAACAGTGGTGATTAATCTTCCAGGCTTCTCAGCATCACATCCCAGAGGAGGATCTTCAAATTCTCTGATGAGAGAACACAAATTACCATCAGTCCACATTAAACCATTCATTTTTCAAACTTTTGTGTTCTGTCCAGGATACCACAAAAAATTGTTTTCCAGTTAAACTTGAAACATATTCAAAAGGTTACCTTTAATGAGCGTACATTGTACTTGACTTATTGTTAGTATGAGGTAGAGTCAGTATCTAGGTCACAAATGGATATAAAATGTAAAACATGTGATATTGAAACCTGGAAGAAACATTTATTTCTTGACATATCTTCCACCAGCATTGTTGCACTTGTTCCAACTTTTTATACTGGTGTGTTGGAACCTGCAGCATGGAAGTATTTTTACTGTTGTCTCAGCCACTTCTGCACCCGGTCGGTCATCGTCTCCTACTTTCAAACGTCCTTGGGGGAATTTCTTAACCCAGTTGTGAACTGCTTTACATGATGAACGCTTTCCACTGTAAACAGGAAACATTTCTTTATGAAAATCCTTTGCATTGAGTCCTTTTGCCCACAGAAAACACACAATGGAATGATGCTCTTCAGTATTATACTCCTCAGGCACTATTGCCATTTTGACTACCAAAACCAGCCTGTGAACATGCGTAGTCGCATCTGCTACCTAGACTGTCACGAAGCTTGATGGTGCTGCTATCTAGTGATACACATAGAAAACCTCTTACATCCATTACGGCTGTTTTACTTCAATTTGTGACTTGTTTAGTGCCTTTCCTATATAACGGAGTAGTTTCATGTGTCAACTGGGACAGCTACAGTCAGTGTAGTAACTAGGACAACCTAGGAATCAGTACAGTGTACAGTGAAATACCTCTATCTTGGAAACTGTTCAGAATAGGACACACATACATTTTTTTTCTTAAAATGACCAGTACTGTGACATTCCAGAATATTGACCTTTCCCCCCTGGGATGTTCTATATATACAATGATATGCATTTACTGAAGGAGATGTTAATGATAACTGCAGTTTTTTAAACTCCAAGCTTCTCATAAGACCAGGTATTCCTTCTATGGTTTTGTAAGTTGTGGAATGTAACTGCCACATTTTGGCTGTGATTACTGTTGTGCTATATTTAATGTAGGATGTCTAAAAGTCACTATAAGTTTTCAGGCAGCCATATTTCCCTAACTGTCATACATATTCAGTGCTCCATGACTTTTTCTTGTGGAGTTATGTTAGAAGTGTGGTGTATGAGTTTACCTATCAGCTGCTCAACTAGAAATAAAGCAGTGCATCACTTCATTTGATGGGAACAGTAAGTGCAAAGTTGCCAGGGCATGTATTAGCTGAAGTCAGATGTCAGCTAGATACTTGTTGCTACAGAAGGTGCACATATGTGAATGTACTGACTTTTTGAGTTAAACTTCGTTTCAGTGAATTGTTTCTTTAATATATGTAATTGTTGAGAGAACATAGCCTCTGAAACCTTGAAGTGACTTTCTGAACACCCTGCACATTTGGTTATGTAGAGTCTTATCATTAAAGAACTTTCTTTCAGAATATAATGAAAGACAGGTGGATGAACATGGGCTACGAAGAGGATGAGTTGAAACCATATGTGGAACCTGAACCAGACTATAAGGACCTGAAGAGGATAGGTATGCATTTAGTTCCCTTTGTTTTTTCAATGAAACATGTATGCAGTATTTTCCTGATTACCTGTGCTTGGTTGATCAGCTTTGCAGCTTATCTGTATGCCTTCATAGGCATGTTTGCAACTGCACAAAGCCCCTCTTTCAGTTAACTTAGCTGATTTGTCTGGATGCATGTGTAAACCAGACCTTACATGATCAGTAATAATGTCATTACCTTATCAGAATGATCGTGTAAGGCTGATGAAAGTGGAATGATGGTCAGTAATGATGCGAACCTGGATTCTCTGATTTCGAGGCATCATTACTGGCAACTGATGGGATACTGTCATTAGTAATGACTGTGTGGAGTGTGCACACCATTACTCCTTCACTACTCAGTTCACTTTGTGGAGTCAGCATGACAGTAAATAGACATGGACAATGAAAGTGAGTTCTCCATCACTGAATCCCCTACAAGTGAGGTGAATACAGAAGAGGGTGAAGTTCTTCAAAACTTCATAGAGAAATATGAAGCCTTACGGAACTGGGGAACCCTACCAAAGACAGAAAGGAATATAGCCTGGTACAAACTGCTGAATGTATACATTGCACTCTCCCTCATATTAGAGTCCTTCCTTATCCAAAATTGTTCGACCACTGGTCCAGTGATTGAGACTAGCTCTTTCTAACGGGCCCAACTGAGTAGTTCTATCCTTCCCCATCCACCTGAGGACGGAGATAGATCCAGTCTCTGAAACGTTGTGGTTTTTTTTCTTATATATACCAGATGATGGATAGAGTCCAAAATAAGCCTAATAATTCTGTACAGTATACACCATTGTCAGAATCCTTTCAAGTCAACTTATAAAATGTTCCTTCATGCAACGGAAATAGTTTCTGTAATCCTCTGATTCTGTCACACAAATTTCTTTTAGCAGAATAACATGGGAACACTTTCAATGTTTCTGTAACCAGTTGTTCATCCGTCATCAGTGCTGAACATTTCGTATGGTGCTTAATGCTAAAATTATGTCAGTACACGCTTCTCTGCAAGGATCCATTATAATAATCAAGAAAACTGACACAAAATAAATGTGCTTCCCGCTTGGTAAGTTGAGTGGTTCTGAAGCAAATAATGTCATTTCTAATGATCGTGTAAGGTTGAAAAGTAATGAAGGAAGACTTTTGGAGGTAATGACATTGTTATTGATTGTGTAAGGTCCTCTTAACAACTAGATTTTTTATGAAATTTGGTAGTGGGGAATTTCTTTGCAAAATTGTCAAACCATATCACCTTTCATTCAGGTACGACAGTTTCAACAATCACTTTACATGAAGATGTGCACCCATTTCTGTATTTTATCTTGACCTTAATTAGCTAAATATTTATGAGCACGAAGAATGCATTTTGCTTTCAGTACACTGTTTCCATGTAGTTGGGGTAGCTCAGTCAGTATAGTGGCAGGCTATGGCCTGGATGGCCGAGATTCAATTGTCGGCAGTGAAAGATTTTTCTGTGTTCCACAGCATCCAGACCAGCTCTGGGGCCAACCAGCCTCCTTCCTATGGGTACCGGGGGCTCCTTCCCCAGGGATAAAGCAGCCAGGATGTGAAACTGACCACTCACCTCCATCTAGTGGCTAGATCAACATAGATGGAGCTATACCTCCACTCCCCCATATGTCTTCATGGCATACTGCTTAACTAATTGAGCACATCGAGAACTTTACCTTTTAACCTTTTACACTGTTTTTGGAAGTCTGCATTTCTTAGGTAAATGTTGGATGCTTTTTATACATTTCCAAATTTGTATATTTAACAATCGCCATGGTCTCCCAGTCACATCTGAAGATTACCATTAGTTTGTATGTTTTTTTCTTCTATTATTCATGCGTCTTTCTCACATCATTAGTTTGAATAATCAGGAATATACTGTAATGAAATGTTGATGTTGATCAAGGTAGCTCAACAGAAATGCAACTGACTTTCATTTGGAAAATATCTGGATCAGATCCTTGTTGAGACAGCAGCCTTTGCCTGACAATATTTGGCATGTTCCTCCGTTCTTCTTAGCATGAACAAGTAACAGTCTCTTATTCATTCTGCCCTGAAGATGGAAGGAGCAGTCAGAATAGCTGGTGCTCTGGCCCAAGATTTGAACTGAGCATGTTATGCCACCTGTTAAGTCGTGGTGATGGGGGGCGTGGAGGCATCCCACTGTCACCTTCTGTACTGCAGTCACAGGGGGTGGGCTAAGGAAACTGGTAAATTACTTCCTCGATCCTTGCTTCATTGGCTAGGGGCACACAGTTCATGGGGCTTGTCAGGAGGGCGCAGGTGCGAAATGTGGTAAGGGAGGAAATCACAACAACAGAAACCCACATCCTCACCCTATGCTACCCTATATTAGTATAAACAATCAGTATACAGTTATATACATTTTAGTAATATCACAAAGAGCCGCCTGGTGTCGGATTACCATTACACTTTCTTAGGCGATTCTTGGACCTCATCTTTCTCTCTCTTTTCACCCAGCTGCGGGTCGCTAGTCTCCTCTTTCTCCTGTTCTACTCAACCACTGTATATATATATATCTGCAGAGCATATCCCAAATTTAAGCCAGCACCAGTAATGTAAACTGATCAATAAACTCTGAAACATCTTTGGGAATGCATCATCATCAGATCATCAATGCAAAGTTGGTAGATTGTATTTTAAAACCAGAATCACCATACCTGAGATGTTGAACACAGACTAATTTTCCATCAGGTTACCTGTTCAAGGTGTGACATACCCTGAAGGATGTTTTAGACAGACTCTTCAGGCTGAATCTTTATTTCAGACCCTAGATCCAAGCATTATGTTCTACACTTAGAGGCAAAAAGAATTGTTCCTGTAAATAATGGTTGCAGTCGCTTTGTTAGCAAGATATATGGTCTGACAGTAAAGTTTGCGAACTCATCCCGGTAAAAGTGCTACATAACTCATTGCTGAATATTATTGTGGTCTCCTTCAAAGTACTTCCCTTGGGAAGCTATGCAAGGATGCCAGTGCCTAGTCCACCCTTCAAAGTACTCCTCTTGGGAAGCTATGCAAGGATGCCAGCGCCTAGTCCACTCTTCAAAGTACTCCCCTTGGGAAGCTATGCAAGGATGCCAGCGCCTAGTCCACTCTTCAAAGTACTCCCCTTGGGAAGCTATGCAAGGATGCCAGCGCCTAGTCCACTCTTCAAAGTACTCCCCTTGGGAAGCTATGCAAGGATGCCAGCGCCTAGTCCACTCTTCAAAGTACTCCCCTTGGGAAGCTATGCAAGGATGCCAGCGCCTAGTCCACTCTTCAAAGTACTCCCCTTGGGAAGCTATGCAAGGATGCCAGCGCCTAGTCCACTCTTCAAAGTACTCCCCTTGGGAAGCTATGCAAGGATGCCAGCGCCTAGTCCACTCTTCAAAGTACTCCCCTTGGGAAGCTATGCAAGGATGCCAGCGCCTAGTCCACTCTTCAAAGTACTCCCCTTGGGAAGCTATGCAAGGATGCCAGCGCCTAGTCCACTCTTCAAAGTACTCCCCTTGGGAAGCTATGCAAGGATGCCAGCGCCTAGTCCACTCTTCAAAGTACTCCCCTTGGGAAGCTATGCAAGGATGCCAGCGCCTAGTCCACTCTTCAAAGCACTCCCCTTGGGAAGCTATGCAAGGATGCCAGCGCCTAGTCCACTCTTCAAAGCACTCCCCTTGGGAAGCTATGCACCGATGCCAGTGCCTGGTCCACCCTTCAAAGCAATTTTGGAACTGGTTTTGTGGAATGGCCTTCAGAGCTGCCCTCATATTACTCCTGATGTCATCGATGTTACGAAAATTCCTTCCTTTCAATATTTCCTTTATCTTCAAGAACAGAAAAAAAAAGTCATTGGGGGCCAGATCCAGTGAATAGGGAGGGTGTTTCGGCACAGTTATTTGTTTACTAGCTACAGACTCACTCACAGACAGTGCTGAATAAGCAGGTGCATTATCGTGATGCAAGTTGTTGGCAAGAAGTTCAGGTCATTTCTGTCATAAACTTTTTTATGCAGGCTTTTCAATACTTCCAAATAGTAAACTTGGCTGACGCTGATGTGCCATCATCAAAACATACTGAGGTTTCAGTCCACTGCTGCCACCGGAAACACATGATGGCAAGTTTGTGAGCTTTATTGTCAGACCTCATATGGCAACAATGAGGCAGCAAAAGAAAATATTGTCAATTGACAGATATGATATTACTATGCAGAGAAGTAGAGGGAAACAGTGTAAGCACTGCATGTATGTAGACTGAAAATTATCCACAGTGGTGGCCTGTAAATTGCAGGACGTTCATCGTCTAGAATATCATTTGTGATGAACAGGTCACATGAAGCCCAGTATTACAAACACAAGTAGGTAACAAAGTGGCAATTGCACTGATGTGGATGATGAAGCTCGTGCTAGTAGTACCAGGTGGCTGGACTTTTGTTACACATTTCCCATTATATATAATGGTGAGGGTGCTGCATGTTCAGCTGTTGTGTGCATTCAACATTCAGCATATACGAGCAGTACGACTGTCACTGGATTATGAGAATCAAAAAGCATTTTGCATTTGGAATACCCCGTCTCCAACCTTTCGCTATCTAGTGTTGGTCATGGATGAAGCCTGCTTGACACAGAATGGAATTCTGAGTTCACAGAACCAGTGCACATGGACTGATGAAAGTGCGCGTTCCTTTCAGTAAGCAACAGTTCCAGCAGCAGCTTGTAAATATTTTGATGGGCGTCATTGGCGAACAGGCTCATCCTAGGTCCTTATGAGGTACCACTTCAGCTATCAGTAGTAGTCTCTTGCTTACAGTGTCTGTGTGAACAGTTACTGCAGTGACTGGATGATATACCATTGGCACCACAGAAGACAGTGTGAGCATTGCATGGTGGGATTCCTGCCTACTCTTCTTGGGATGTTGTCCACTGTCCAGGTTGAAGGATAGGGCAAAACATATGAGTTGAATTGTGTGACCTCCACAGTCACCCGTTGAAAGTCGTGCTGCCTGAAGAGCATTGTTCATGCAGATTGCTGTAACGTGCAGAGTGCCACTGAATTGGCTGGAACAGCGGTATGCAACATGTATGACATTTTTTGAGCAGCATTGCTCAGTTATGAATCGACTGTGACGATGGACATTTTCGCCAAGTCTTGCAAACTTAATAACTGGCCAGCCATTCTGTTCACATCTGATAAACTCTGTATCCACAACAACGTTATTTGTCTACTTTTATTTCATTTTGCTTCCTACTGCCTTATCTCACCATTGAAGCAGCTGTGTGACTGACCATTTCTGCTAGCCTGGAAGTGTAGGACATAATGCTTATATTTAAAGTATGTAATGAAGACTTGCCCTGTTTACCACTTTAGTTTCCCAGCCTGTTCTTGCTTCCATGCTATAATTTGTTTTGGATGTGCTTGCGTAGTTGTTTCCTGAGTCCTGGTTTAGCATGTTTGTGGCTTGGTGTTGTGTTCTCACACTAGTTATGCCATCACTTGTCATTTCTTCCAGAAGCCTTAGTCGGCATGGGTTACAACAGGAGTGAAATCGAAGAGAGTTTGGCGAATGCCAAGTACGATGATGTGTTCGCCACCTACCTCCTGCTGGGGCGGAAGTCATCGGATGTAAGTATAGGTTACGGAAGTGTATATACGTCTTTTCACATTTTGTTCTCTGTTAAGCAGAAAATGAGTCATGGCAACTGTCGTTAACTTCATCAGTTAATATTCATAACTTTGGAAACCCACCTTACAAATGGAACTGACTGTACTAGTGATCCACTTATAGGAGGCGTCAAGTTAATTATAAATAACACAATAATTTTCAGATGAAGGCAAAACCTAGCAAGACTGATTTGTTTCCTCCGTGCCCAGTTTGCATCATTTCCTTCAGTCTGTGATTCCTTGCTGCCATGCTAAATACAACAAATGTAAACATGGAGTGTCATTTGCACACATTTCCATCTGAAATGCAACTTATTATCTGGTCACCCTTCTTCCTTGCTGCATCTTTCGGCCAGATACGGCCATCATCAGGTGTCTTCTATCTTGCTAAAATTGTTGCACTGTATGTCAAAAATATGTATCGCATGTGAACATGATATTTTCTAACTAAAATAAATCAACATTAATTAAAATTTGGTAACATCCCAATGTTTTCCTTGTCATTCATTCGTTTCAAAGATGTTTACCTGAGTATATGTGAGACACTCAAGCCAATATCATTTAAACAAACAGAAGAAAAACATTGGGATGTTAATTAATTTTAATTAGTTTCAATTAAGGTTGATTTATTGTAGTTAGTAATATCACATTCAAGATATGTAATTTTGATATACAGTGTAACAATTTTAGCAAGACGGAGGACCCCTGATGATGGCCATATAAGGCCGAAACATGTATAGTCAGGAAGAGGGGTGACTAGATAGTGATATATGTGTTCAAATGATATTAATGCAACAGGATGCTTAAATACAGTATTATGGAGTGTTCATGTTTCCTCCCTCTCCAGGCACAGGGAAATGTCTCAGATATTTCTCTAACCAGCTTTTTTGCACATGCACCAAAGGTATGTGCTTGCCATGTTTTGTTTTTGTAGGTGAATTGTTGTGAGATTTGTAATTATTTATTCTCGATGTTCTCCATCTAAACTACCATATATAATCTACCTAGCCATGAAGTATTTGAGGTGGAACAAATCTTTTTTTTTGCTATTTCTTAGTCTCTCTTGGGATTAAGACACTTTGTCCATGTCATGGACAGAGAAGAAATCCGTGAAAAATATAAACTTTTTGCTTTATTCCCTAAGCAGCTGTGTAGCAGGAGCTTAAGTTCATTTTCACATGAAAACTGATGTTAGGTTTTGGAACGTGAAGTAATCACGGGGGCTTCAAATCTGGACTGTAGTGTGCTTAGTTTAGTTTCTGAAAGCCACAGTCCCTTTTGGCAGCTCTTACTTTTTGTGGCATGTGTAAAGGAACTTTGTCCTGAGGAATCAGGATATAATTGTCACTAGTGCATGGTCTTTTATCTTCTGTTCAGACATGAAAGATGAAAATGTTTGAAACAGAGGTCTTCTGGGTTGTGACACTGTGTAGTTCGGAGAAATCTGGTGCATCTGCTGGTTTCTTGCTCAGCTTACCCTTTGACCCTGAAGATGGAGATAGTATGTTCCTCCAAAAGTCTGGCTTTTGCCAGTAAGCCCAGAATGCTGTGTGCTGTTCATAATCCATAAAGTAAAGAAATGTAAAGCTATCCCTGTACCAGGCCGTGAAGGCCCATAGGGTTGTGAGACGTTGAGGTTCCCACATTATCTAGTCAATCGGCTCATAGATGGCGGTAAGGTTGTCAGCCCTATGTGCTGGTTGCCCTTTACCCCCAAGAAGGTGGGTGGGTGAGTAGGTAGAAACTTTATGTGTCATCTTGTATGGGTTTGAAACTTGGTCTCATACGTTAAGGGAAAATGCAGATTCGGGATGGTTGAGGACGGTGCTGGGCCCAAGAGGGAGGAAGAAACAGGAGGTGGGACAAAAATTGTTTACTGAGTAGCATCATAATTTGAACACATTATTAGGATGATTAGATCAGAAAGGATGTGTGGTAGAGGTGAGTATTGCATGTAGAATTATGATTACGAAACCCAAATTGGCGATAATGCTTAGAATGACCTAGACATGTAGGATAACATAATAATGGATCTTAAAGGAGTGTTATGGATTAGCTCAGAATAGAGATCAGTGGTGGGTGTCAGGAACATTTTAATGAACTGTTAGGGAAATTCTTGAGTAGTTGAGCGAATTTTAGTTTCTCAGAGACTGCTCTATATTTTTAATACTTGGTGGTATTTTGAAGTTAATCAAATGAACCTTGAGTGTTGCGAGTGTGAACAAGAAATTTGCAGGAACATCATGTAGATAGGCAACTTGGAAGGTGGTAATATCATTTTTGCTGCCATATTTGACGGTTTGTGTTTACTGGTACTGGTACTGTCCAAATTGCCATATACAGTGAATCACAGGTAAAAATGCAACACACTAAGACAAAATGTTTCCCCATTCAGAATGCACTTGCAACTGTAATTCTTTCTTCTGTTAGAAAGAAGTGCAAATCTTTATAGATACATTAACTGTGAAGTACTACATACTGCTAAATATAGCAAGGCTGGGAGGTAAGCCATGAGCAGAGTTGCTTGCAGAAAAGTAGAAAAGAAGGCGTAAGGAAATTAATAGTAAAATGTGAACAATATGGAACAGGCTCAGTATTCTGATTGTTGGTTGGATTTTGTAGTGGTTTCATAGTATTGTGTGTCTGAACACATCTTTGGAGGTTCAACATAACTGCAGTAGGGAGCCTTGTGGCACAAGAGCTCTCATTGTGTTCAGTGATAACTCCAGTATGATAATTTGTATTCCTGTGGCATGTCAGAAATTGAGTCAGTGACTTTCTGCTAATGACATGATGCTCATCGCTTCCTGGTGATGATGCAATCTCAAAGGTGTTTTAGACAGAGTAAAGCTGAATTTACTTTACAGGTGACTTTTTGGTGTAGACCTTTGTAGTTTTAGCTTCCATTTTCTCTCTCCATACCATTTTTCATTTTCCTAGTTATTGCCTTTTTCTTTCATGTCAGCAGTCTAACAAAGTTCCTAGTTATTGCCTTTTTCTTTCATGTCAGCAGTTTAACAAAGTTGTAAGAATGTAATCTTATGAAATTCATGCACTTGTATGATAGATAAGTACAGATATATACCATACTCCTGTGGGAAATTATGTACCACTGACATGGATATGTCATTCACTGATGAAGTTCCTGCATGATAGTTTCTCTTGCTAACGTGTTTTTTTTTCTTCTAGCCTGAAAGCGATGGATCTAGATCTGGCAGTTCATTATCGCTCCGCAACATCCCACCTGCAGTGGCACAGGGCAATGCTCAGTCGCCGTCACACAGCCACAGGGGTGTCCATCGCTCCATTTCAGCCACAAATGCCAAGCCAAGTCGGCGAGCTTCGTCCGGGGGTGAGACTTTGCGTGAGTCGCAACAGCAACAGCAGGGCACGGCTACAGGGGGTGGGCTGTCCTTTCATATGTTTATGGAATGTTCCGTCACCCCACGCCCTTTGCCTGATGCTTTTATAGTTATGCTTACATGTAGTTTGTATATTTATTTTAAGCTGCATGTTAGAAACTTCTAAAGGTGTTAACATACAATCATCCAGTTTTAAGTAAAGTTGAATTTAGTAATGGGCTCAAATTATTTGAGTTTAGTAATGGTTTTAAATCAGATTTGGAAATGTGCCACTTCTGACCAGGATAGTTAATAATTTCCTAAATATTTGTGGCAGTTGAAGTGTCATTTATAAGTATTACCATAATGGACACTTATCTTGCCTGAAGTTGGAGGCAGCAGGCTCCTCCAGAACATTGTCATCCATTTACCAGACTGTGTGGTGTCACATTAATGAACATTGAAACTTTTGTACGCTTTTTAAGATTTTAATGGTGGTGGTAGTTCCGATTTAGTTTCCTGAGTTGTGATATATTGTGTTCTAGGCGGATACTGATGTTGGCACAAAACTTCAGTATTTGCCTGCAAGACTTTGTGATATCATGAGTGAGAAACCCAGAATTTGAAGCTTTGGGTTGTGAAAGATAGAAGTGTTATGTATGAAAGCTTGATGTTTTCTTCTGGTAGCACTTCAAATTCTGCTGAGATTGGAAGTATAGGTTTGCATATCATCTGTAGATGTATTTTTTAAGCATCGCTTATAGACACAGCATTTATTGGTGAAGAGAAAACTTTGAAGAAAGTATAACACAGAGTTGAAGAAAATAAAATTTTCTCATGTAACTGAAAAGAAGGTGGGGTATGAGCCTTTGAATCACATCCAAAAACGCAGCAGTACTTGCCTGTTGCCTTAACAGCTGCCATGCATTTTGGCAGGATCATGGAGTTAAGTTTGTAATATCCTTTGACCGCTCTTCGTTTGGGCCACAGTTGGAAACACAAAAGTTGCATTTTTATACCTGTACCTACTAGGTAAGGAGAAGAGGAGGGTAGTGTTTCAAGGAAGGTGCATATTCTCATAGATTTCAAAGTTATGGCTGGTTTGCTCATGAAGTACCAGTTGAACAGCTTTGCCAAATTATTCATGACAAGGTTAGATACAAGCACTTACATTAAATGACTGAAAATTAAATAATGAAGAGCGCTGTATATGAGCATATAGTTTTCACTTACTATTTCATACTTTCATTCCACAAATGAAGGTGCAGCCTATTTGCCGGCCGGGCGCTGAAGGAAGTGGGATGGCCGCACTTGTTTGTTTATCCCATTAATTTGTACGGTTACACAATGTCCACGTTTTGTTTTCTATGGGCTGTTTGATGACCCTGTTAGTACCTAGTGTGTGTCATGTTGAATAGTAGGTGATCGAAGATGAATGAAATGGAAGGGATTTGGCCTAATCCAGTTACTGTCCCATCATTTCCCTAAGGGAGGCTGAGGATAACCATGAAAGCTGTTAGGATAGGCAGTGTCCCAGCTGAGATTTGAACGGAGCACCATTACACTACGGTCAAACTGCAACTGCAGTTGGTGTAAATATTCTCTCATTCCTCAGAGAAAGAGCAGAAGTTTCATGTGAATAGAAAAACTATCACAGTCATGTACAGTGTGTTAGGAGTGCATTGTTTCCCAGATGTGATAACTTAGGTATCAACGTTTTATAGGAACCAGCTGCCTGTATGTCATATGTATTTAATGCTACAAATATTTATTCTTTTTGACAAATAAGCTTGATTAGGTAAGAAAACAAGCATTTGGACTGTATGAAAATGGAGAGAGACCTATTTGAAGTTGGTGTGATTTGTCAGTCTTAATCATATTTCAGCCTCACCAGTACATGTTTGTTTTATAAGTAGCTGAGAATGAGTTTGCTAATACTAATGATATTGGTAAGGCAGACACCCAGCAGGTTGACCTGTGGTAAGTTTCTGGACTTGTAATTGGGAGATACTTGATTCAAATCTTGGCTGGGCCACCCATAAACCTGACTGAGGGTTTTCATGTTCTTTCCTTGACTCATCCAGGAAAATGCTGCAGTAATATGTCCAATAGAGCATGACCACTTCCACATCCCTTGCACTTTATCAAACACCACACAGTAGACAGTCTTCATACTGACAATATACGAAAGATATGGCAGTCGTAAATCGTAAAAAATAATACTGTTTTTCTGGGGTGTAACAGTGTGAAGTCCATTCGAAATTCACCAGCATTTGAGAGAAAAATGCTGCCTCCGTCTTCAGGACAGAAGAGTGAGCCAAGCAAACACAGCAGGATTTCTGCTTGCTGCTTGCCTGTCATTGGTTGCATGCTTGATTTACTCTTCAACCCTGAGGATGGAGGCAGTATGTTTTTCTGATATGTCAGTGACCTACAGAACTGCACTTCACACCCCAGAAGACAATACTCTTCAGTCACTGCTGTGAGACCCTCAGATTCAACATAAATCATTATGTTTGTTGCCTATTTGAGCCTTTCTGGTAGTTAAGATTGATGTTCATTTGCTTACAGTTCTTTTGATATGACTTGTGTTCAGTTTTGTGTGGGTAACTTGTTAGAATGTTTTGTAATGAACCCTTTCCCCTCTAGTAATGCCTCTGCAAATTCACTGTTTGTTACTAACCCGATATTAGAACAGTTTTGCACCTTTAATCATAATGACAGTAGGAGAAACATTGGTCTTTTATTTGAAAATCAACCCATAGCAAACAGTAAAGATTTTTTGTTTTAAACATCTCAATTGTTGGATGTAATCAGTGCATTATATACAAATTTTGTTTTGAAGGAAATTGCTGAAAGAAATTTGAACTCGCATTGACTGCAGTTTTTAACTGCATTACTTTAGCATTTCCCTGTTATAAGTTATTTGTAGCTTGTAATATAAAGAGGTCTCACGATTCATATAATTGATTATATTTGCAAAGAAGGTGATGCACTGTATCTGAGACAACTTTGAGATTGTGTCATCATTTGATAGCGATGTAGATTATTGGTTCATCATTAGGAAGCTGATACAGGAGTCAATGAAATTAATTATAAATCACATGGTCATTTAGTAATGGAAACAAAACTTGCCAACATCATGTACTTTGCAATGCTTTTGGGGTGTCCATGTGCCCATTCATGCCGTTTTCTGCAGTCTCTCCTGCCATGCTGGTTGCAGCATATATGAACATAGTGTGTTTTGTTGGCCATTGTCATCAGGTTTCACTGTCATCTGTAACAACTCCCTTTACATCAACCAAGGTATATACTGGCCAAGTTTCATTTACATTGTTAAATGATTATGTGATTTATAACTATTAATTTAGGGTCTTCTCTGAGTGAATCATCCTGTAGATTTTATTTTTGGTGTATGATACAAACCAAATTTGTCATATCAGATCTCACTGAGTGGACAGCACTTGCTTTCTGTAATGTTTCAAGATATGGCGGAGAACCCAAATTTGTCATATCAGATCTCACTGAGTGGACAGCACTTGCTTTCTGTAATGTTTCAAGGTATGGCAGACAGCTGCAGAACAAAGTGTAGGAAAGACACGGATTGAGTATTCCAGGCGGCCTGTACAAACAGTCTGTCAACCATAAAGGCGGAATCTTAGTGTGAATATAGTAAACAGTATAGTGTGATTAGTTTTGAAATGTGATTGGAATTTGTTATCTTGAAAGTTTTCAATATTGTGCATGTAGGTGGGACAACTGCTCCTCCAAATGCTGCAAACCACAATCACACTCCTGCCAGTAACTTCAAGCGTCAAAACACAGTGGACTCTGCCACTATAAAGGAAAATACAGCACGCATCAACTCTGCGAGTGCTGCAGTCAGACCTGCAACAGTTAAGAACACGCCACTCCCAGGGATTGAACCATGTATGTCATCAAATGACCCTTGTAAGAATTTAAAAGACAATTTTTGTACTTCATTTATAACAGATTTGTAGTGGAACCCCCATTTAATGTACCTTGATTGTTTTCTCTTATTTGGTAGATAATTTAAGTTATCCCAAGTGTTAAACCTTAATATTAAATGACATCAATTTTATATTCTCATAATTTCAATGTTCAGATCACTTGGTCTCAGAAGAAAACTTCAGTAGGGGTTTATTTCATGCCTGCCTTTGATTGAATTGTTAGGATGTGTTTTATTGTGTTACCATCTTCAACTCTTTGGTGTTTGCATGTAATTGTGTCATGTACTGTGTCTTCTTTTGAGCATCTTTAACCTTTATCGGACGAACGTCATCATATGATGTCGTTAAAAGTTAGGATAGATGATGTCGCGGATTCCACGCGTGTAAGGTTTTTTTAAAATTAAATTAAAAATATAAATTGTTTTTCTATTTACATGATTTTTGGTCACCACCTTTATAAGGAGACAGCCTTCCTTCCTGCATGATCTAATGTAATCTAGCGACGTCATATGACGTTAAAAGTAAGGACAAATTGCCGAACGACATCATATGATGTCGCGCATTCCACGCGTGTAAAGATTTTCTTAAAATTAAATTTAAAACATAAATTGTTGTTCTATTTACATGATTTTTGGTCACAACCTTTATAAGGTGACAGCCTTCCCTCCTGCGTGATCTAATGTAATCTACCGACGTCATATGGCCGAACGACCTCATATGATTTCGCGCATTGCACGCGTGTAAAGATTTTTTTAAAATTAAATTTTTGCTCTACTTACGTGATATATGTTCACCATCTTCATGAGGAAACAGCCTTCCCTCCTGCGTCATCTGTGGTAATGTGGCCTTCGTATGGTACTGCCGAAAACATTCCGAAATGCAGAGTCCGACATCGCAGCACACGCACTTCGTACGAACGCTAGACTGCTTCCCACGCGAAGAGCACACACGACATCTCAGTTGCGATTTAGAGGAAGCAGCCCAGTGATGTCGAGCTGCAGTGATATTTATCCCCGCAGCTACACTGGAATAATTATTCACACCTCTCCAGCCACACTGGTCTGGCGGTCCCCAAGTTGCCGACGAAGGTGATGACCCTTCGTTCGCGGAATCAGAACTCCACCTTTCCTTGCCACTCTCAGAATCAGTTGAATAGCAGTCCGAATCTGTGTCACCGAACAGCTGTTTTTCAATTTCAGCATCAGAACTCCAACTTTCTTCACCACTCTCAGAATTGGTTAACCCTTTGACGTGGTCATTTAAATTCCGCGGCCGCGGCTCCTGCGGTAATATATTCAGCCGGCCATTTAAATTTTGCTCGAAAATTATTTATTCATCATTGTTCTTAAATTCTATGAGATAGGAACATGAAACTTTCACTAAAATGATCTTAAATGGTGGTTTTATAACCTTACCTTATAATATGGGCGCCCTGTATCTCNCATGTCCCATACGATAAATAAGCTTCAACAAGAGACACCATTGAATGTGAAGTCACCACAAGGACTTACACTGCTAAAACGCATGGTTCAGAAAATGTATTACACTGCTAGAACGCATGGTGTAGAAAATGTATGAATTTTGGGAATTTTTTTTTTGGGAATCAGTGTAAAAAATTTTTACAGATATTAAAATCTGTAAATTAGAATATCTGATTCTATATTCTTTCTACATTAAAGGAGCATTCATTTTGTTCGTTTATCATAAAAAATGTAGAAATCACACCATTTTTAGAAACATGCTTACAATTTCATTGCTCTAGAAGGGCGGGCATTTAAATAAACTCCATCCAGCTGCCCCTACCGGAAATTAAATGGCCCGTCCGATAAAGGTTAAGCTCCACAACATTGCTTCAGATTCTTCCCTAAAGTTACGTGTACCTGCAGCAGAAGCTCCGTTTGATCTTACTTGTTGACTTTTATTTTCATTGATCCCAATTGAATAATCTCAGTGTCAATACTGATCTGTGTTTTGGAGGAACATACTGCCTCCATCTTCAGGGTTGAAATTGACTCCAGTGTTTCAGGGATCATACAGCCTCTAGCTTAATGGTTTAAGTGGGTACCAATGTTTCAGAAGAACATCCTACACAGCCTTTATCAGTTTAGTTTGTATAACTACAGCAGCCCTTTACAAAATTGTTTTCCAATTGTAATGAATTTTTGACAACACTGATACTAGAATTTATGCAAGGTGGGGTAATAGCTTTGACAGTTGTGATGTTACCAATGAACATTTCTAACAGAACTGGCATCATATCAAAAATGCATGAGATAAAAGACATATTTTGTACGTGGAGGCGCTGTGGAGTTAGCAACGTCGTGTTGGATTTTGTAAATGGCACTGTACATTTTTATAGCTTGTATGACAGAAGAGGGAGACTAATTCAGTGACACACTGTATTACACAAGGCCATTCAGGATCACAAAACAAAAATCCTAAAACTCGGGCTTCTTTACTTTTGTATCACCATTTATTGTTGGGTTTAATCTACAGTATTTTATGGTAGATGCTTGAAGTGATAACTCTCTGTAGCACAGTGTTGTAATCTTTGCTGAAAGACTCAGAGAAGGTTCATGTGGCAGAAGTTATTGCCCCATCTGTATATCTTAGTTTGGAGGTGTTCTGTATAAAGCAGCAAAAGAACATATTACGTGGAGGTCATGTATGCCTGTCTGACCTAACATCAGCACCTAAACATGCAGACATGTTTTTACAGGAGACTTCCGCCAGTTCTTGTCTTGTAGTTCCAATTTTTGTCTGTATTCATTTTAACAAAGTGTAGTTTGCATGAGGCCAGAAATGGAAATTTCCCTATATCATACAGATTCTGTTGAAATTCAGTCTGGGAAACTTTCCATTATTGCCATCGTTAGGCTTGAGTGACTGTAATAAATTTCAGAGGATGCCATGGGTGATTTTGTAAGCGAATCCTTTCCACTCATCTTAAATTGTATAAATACAGCAAAAATAGTTCACTTCTGGACTAAGAGACTAAATATTTAAATCACCCTGGGGCCACCATTATTAAACTACTATCCTAACTTGTGCACTGTTCACTTTAAAACTTAATATAAAATCTCCTAATTAATTTTATGAACTAAAATTTTTGGAGAACACTTACCAATGCTCCTAGAAGTGCTTCAGGGTGTGATATTTCTGGAAACATTTGCCTTTGTGAAGTGGCATTACACATAACTTGCAAATGTAGACATACTCCTTTTTTTGTGAATGTGCAAACACAGCACTGCCTAGAAGGATGCTTCCCCTTGGAATGTTCACTCTTCACAATTTTCACGAGGGTATGTTTCCGCATATCACCCGAGAGTCACCCTGGGGTGTCCAAACGAGGCCTGCGTGGGGTAGGAGTTGATGGGCCTGGTTACACTAAGTCTCTGTCTGACTGGTTCTGCCGCCACCATCTGGTCTGTAGCCCAGGCCTTTGCCGCATTCATCAGAAATGCTTTGTATTTCAATTTCAAATCGGTTTAGATTTTTGTGATTTTTTTTTTTTAGATTTTTTACTGTCCCCGCAATGATATAATACACATTATCGTCAGAGCTACTGTCACTTTTAGTGTCTGTGGTCACAATTCTTTGTTCTCCCCCGTCACTGCCGCGCTCTGAATCACCATGACTATGCGTCTCACAAGGCAGGTCATCTGGGTCATCGGATAAGAATTTGTCCTTGTCCATACCCCACCACTAACTACTGGCTGATACATAGAGCTCGAAGAGCAGCAAAGCATTTTCCTTTATAGTGTGTTAAGAAAACAGTGAGGTCAAGTTACTGACAAGTAAACAAACGTTCCAAAGTTTTATTACACATCTATGTGCAACCTGGTTGGCGCCAGAGCAAGGTATAGTGTGTTACAACCTAATGTGTCCTAAAATCATGATATCATGTGACCGGTCTGCCACCTTTAAAAGCCAAAAGCATGATATCATGTGACCGGTCCTCAATGTGTTAAATTCAGTCCACATCCACACAACCTGCCTGCATCTAGTTCTAGATTGTGTCTCCCCTTTCAAGGTTTTCGTCTCAAGATAAGTGTTTCCCAAATGCTGTAGCTTTCCATACGGCCTTGGAGTTGGATCTTTTTGCAGAGTAAAGCAGTTACACTGTCTTCTCCATGTGTAAGGTAGCAGAGGTATGGAAAAGAAGCAAGTCTTGGTAATCTCCATTTTACAGTGATTTGCACAAGGATTCACTGAAACAAGAGTAATTTGGAATATTGGATTATTTAGTGATGCTTTCAGCAGCTTAGATTATGTAGCAATGAATGATAGGAAATGAATAATGAATTGTAAAGGATGTGGAAGGGAAGGAAGCTGTCATGGCATAATGGGACACATTCTCTGGCACCCCCCCCCCNCACTATGTTGCACCAGCCATTTTTATGTGAAAAAAAAATCATTTTGATTTACTACATTTAAAGCGACACAATATAGAACAAGCAAGAAACAATAGGTAGCTACCATTCTGTTTCACAGTTCGACAGGTTACGCTTAACCTTTCTCTGTGTTTGAGGGAACTTTGTTGTGGAAAGTGACTTTTACGTACACAGTCACAGCATCCCGTCACTTGATAAGATGAACACAGCAAATCCACAAGGCAACATGATTGGCAGTGAATGTGTTATGGTACTAACCCAGTATTTGCTGGTGGGACTGAGGAAAATCTCAAGCCACAGTCACAGTAGCAAGTCTCCAGTCCAGAATTCATATTTATTATCTGAATATGGAGTGCTATTCACTCGACCTTGACTTCTGGTCAAGTCATATACTTGTGAGTTAATTTAGGAGCTGAGTGACTCCTCCCTTTTGTATTTGCAGCATCGGTAAGCAGTCCTGGTAAACCTAGAGGTGTCACCAAGTCCAATACAATGACGGGCAACAGAACATTGACACCAGGTGTGTCAGTGGGCAGAAGGAGTACAATCAGTTATGACGCTAAGGCAGCCTCCAACGAGAAGACTAATGCAGCAGGCGATGCCCCCAGGTAAGACACAATCTTAGTCAAACGTTACTGTCGGTGATGTACAGCTGTACTGAAATTGACAATGATATCACATTGAAAGGTACATGGAGATAATTAATGAATTTGAGGTGAGCTATGTGCACAGATTATCTTGTTTGGGGGATATGTGTGTGCCTTTTTGGGTGCATCCAGAACCATGCAGAGTGCTGAACTTGCCAAATATGTGTAAGAATGAAAGATGTTTTGAATGGGAGTCAGAGAGAGAAATGTAACGCACGTCATGTGATCAGTTCACTTTTTTTCCTTAAGTCTTGCGGATTTTAAGATATTTAAACCAGGTTCTGTGCGTGTATTTCCGAATTACAGTGAAGTATTTTGGATTGTACTGTGTTTATTGAATACTTAACCAGTCACAGTGCTATTTTCTCAATGACCCAACAGTTTTTCTACCCTTAAAGGGTCATAATCAGGGATACACTTTTGGCCAGTACTTTAGAGCATTTGCTCGGGTTTTCACATCATTGTCCCCCCCCGCCCAATTAATGTAAGTGGGGTATGGTTACAGGTAATCATTGCAACACTGGTCCAGAACCATTGGTAAACATAAATTTAAGGTAGGGAAGCAATAGTGTGAAAACCGTGAATGATTACATTAAAATGTGTCTGTGTTGATCTGTCCTTTAAGGGTTAAAACCTGTTTGAGGAAACATTGTGATGTAATGGGGCTGTATTTATTAATTTAAATTAAATATAATATGCAAACACAAAAATATCTTTATTTATCCTTTATTTTTTTTATTATTCATGCACCTTTCCACTTCCACTGGCACTGAAATGTAGGAGTATAGTGTAGTCTACATGCGGAGCTCAGAGCAGAGTTGTGCTTACCTCAGTTTTGACTTGCCAAGTGTATGATTTTTAAGGTACAGGAGAGGAGCCATGTACCCTTTCAAGAATGATATCATTCCCATATGTATGGTGCTTTGTATGCAGTGGGTTGCTGGGTTTTATGCTTCTGGATATGGGCCATGTGCTTAATACATCTGCCAGAGAATAGTCACATTGTGTCTGATGGATACTTTTGTATTGAAGTATTAAGAATCGTGAGTCGGAAAGTTTACTCCAAATTGAAGTAAACATGTTTAAGGGCCATGCAGTAGCTCAAGCGGTTAGTCGCTGGCTTCCCATTGTGGTGGCCCAGGTTTGATCCTGAGTCTGGTCAAGTGGGATTTGTGGTTAACAAAGTGGCGCTGGAGCAGGTTTTAACCACGTACTTCAGTTTCCCCTGCCAATCTTCATTCCACCAATTGCTCCACACTCACCTGTCATCTGGGGCTGGTACAATAGGCCATAGGTGGCTGCAGTACAAGGGACTTAGTCCCACCCCACTAGCAAAAAAAAAAAGATCCCTTTGGGAGTGATGGTTGCAGAATGAAGATGGGGAAGGTTATCCCTTAATGTAGTAACTCAGAATTTGCAGTTTAGTAAATATACTTGTAAAGTGTTAATGAAATTTGAATAATGATGTATGATATATCCATGAGTAAATTTGACTGTATTATGGACCAGCATGGCTGAAAATCAGAACTGCCCAACAGCTTTTAGTGAAATTCTTCCATATTGAACTTTTAAACAATCCGACCAAGGTTCATATAGTATTACCACATCACAGACAAGTGGAGACAGATCTCAAGATGTGATTTTTTTTTTCAGAATGCCTAGTAATATTTAATTCTCTGTGTAAAAATGATAGTTGAACATTTTTCTTCTAAACTTACTGAAACAGAGGAAAATATTCCAATTACAATCAATATCAGTGGTTCTCTCTGTTCAGTGTACCGACGAAGCACTATAAATTTCTTACTCTTGAGCTTCATTTAAGCTGTCTACAGCCCATTTCATATGAAACACTGATAAAAATGTACACAATAGCCTTCTGTTCTGATGGACAGGAACATTTGCCTGTGAATGTGCCCAGCCTTCAGGCATTGGTTTGCATCCCTTAGTCATTAATTTGCATGTAATGAAACTAAGCTTGAAATTAATGTGTGAGCAGCAGAAGTGTGTTCATTTGCCTGGATTTAGTTAGTTCTTAACAGCTGGGAATGAGCCAGCACTAACCTACTAACAGTAATCTGTACTGTATGTGCATAGTTATTGAACTTACAAGTCTTCAAGGGGTTGCGAATTAAGTAGTTTACAAGTTTTTGTGTTTTAAGAGTCGGATAGTTAGATCGATAAAAAGATATTTTCGGCCACACCTTCAAATTTACAGTATCTTAGTTATCACCATGTTTGTGAAAAAATAAAATCAGTGTGTGTTGCAGGATGTTTAGAAATATCAGTGTTCAGTAGCCACTGGAATTAAACAACTGGGGTTTGCTTAAACCTCATGATACTGGAGCCCCCAAAGTAATACAGTCAATGAAATTGGATCAAAATGCAGTTCTGTATATTGTTGGAGATTCCTGTCAGTTATGCAGTGACAACAGGAGCCTAAATAGCTTGTAATTTCTGCACCCACAGTGAGCTATATAATGTTCTACATTTACAAAAGATTTGTGGGATATTTTGCTGCCTGTAGCTACATTTTCTGAAAGCACGTATATTAAATCCTACAATTTGCCAGAACTGTCCGTGGTTATAACTGTATTTTAAATAATTTTTGTGGACTCATCTTCCACTGGGCCCCCCAGTTAGAGAAACCATGAATTAAGGTAAGAATTTTGGTGCCAATATGTGAGGTATGAATGTTGCATGCTAGTGACTATGAAGGTATTACCTTGTGGGATGTGATGTGTCATGGTCTTGTAGAAGTTGATCGATACTTCAGAGGAACTTGTGGCTTCCATTCTCAAGATTGATGAGTAAGCTGAGCATACGGCAAGTAGAGTAAGCATGTGTGGCTTGCTGCCTAGTTCTATAGGTTTCTACACAGAAGTTGGAGCTACAAGGTACCTCTGAAATGTTGATACTTAGCTACCAAAGAGCTTGGTGTCACATTCCAAAAGACTGTGATCAGAACCTTAACACTAGTTAATATTTGAAGCTGTTCAGTCATGTTGTTGGGTTTCAAAGGGAAAATATCATTGTTTTATGCAGTTACACAGGTTGAGTCACATGGAGAAGGCCCTGAATTAGTAATTGTAAATCGTTTAATCATTTATGAATGAAAATGTAATTTACCAGGTACATACCTTAGGGGAACGCAGTAACATAGTTGTTTGTTGCACTGTGCTACAAGCTGGAAGGTTGCGGGTTCAATTCGCAGTAAGGCCTTTGAATTTTTTAGCTGATCTAATTCTTCCAGCTGACTTGGTCCTGAGGTCAACTCAGCCTGTAGCAGAAATGAGTACAAGAAATCTTTGGGGCAAACGGTGTCTGGTGCATAAGGCTGACACCCTCACTGCCATCTGTTAGCTGATTGGCTAGAAAATATGGGAGTCTCGACATCTCAACCCCATGGGCCTCCACACCTTTTAACAGCGATACCTTAACCTTTTTTTACATACCTTGGTAGACATGGAGGTAATTGTCTTACAGAAGGTGTTAAAATTGGTTCCTGTCTGCCTGGAGACACATACTGACACCATAGTCCATGTTCATAAATGTTGCAGCCAGTGGCACAAGGCATTGCAGAAGGCTATGGGAAACCAATTTCAGTACCTTCTGTAACCGGTTGTCTCCACATGCACCAAGGTATGTACTCACAAAGTTTCATTTTGATCGGTGAATTGTTGCATGATTTATACAGGGTGGGGTGCAGAAACTTCCTCTTTTTGAAGGTGAATAAAAGAAAAATTATTGCTGATGGACAAAATTTATGTTTAGCTAATGAAAGAACATACTCTAAAGTTTTAAATCATGTAGTTTTAAACAATATATCTTGAAGGTGCTGGCCACTGTTCTCTATGCACTGATGCAACCGTTCTCTGAAGTTCCCCTCTGCACATTCCAACATGTGCACCGGAATTTGGGCTGCTTCCTGCCGAATAAAATTGTTCAGCTGAAGCAGGTTTGTGGGGCGCTGTTTAAAAACCCCTGCCTTGAGGTATCCCCATAAAAAATCACAGGGCGTTAGATCGGGTGAGTGCGCTGCCCACGGGATGTCACCTCAAAGCGAGATGAGCCGTCCGGGGAACTTTGCCCTCAAAACTGTCATCGAAGCTTGGACTGTGGGCCATGGCACCATCCTGCTGGAACCAGACATTTCCTAGCTGCATTTCTTCAAGAGCTGGTTTGAAAAAGATCTCAAAATCGACTGTCAAACTGCCTCCACATTTTCTGGCATCGTTTCACCACACTCCCGGTTGTCCAAAAGTTCTCTACCCACAAAACAATCGATTTCCTGTTGGGAACCGGACCTCTGGGCTTAACCTTTAATGTACGGACTTTTAAATTGCCGGCAGCTCCCTACGGCCGGAATTTAAATGGCCCTAAGTCTTTAACATTGCAAACTTTCAGAAAAAAATGCATATTTTCCGTTCTATGCAACATCGGAATATGAACTAAAAAGAACCTGAAAGACAATAAAATTTTCTACACATATATACGAAAGGGCAAGTTTTACAAATGAAAATCAACTCTGAGTATTTTGTCATGAAGTGCAAAATATAATCATTATTATATACGTTATGAAATTCCAAAGGACTTACCTGTTGTTTTTCTTCAACCTTGAATTGTGGTGGTTGTGTAAATATGACGACACTATATACAATAATATTTGGTTTGGACTGTACATGGTTTGGACTGCATCACTTCACAGTTTACACTCTGACGTGTGTGCCATTTCTTGAAGCAGTCCACACAGCGTGACATCACACTCTACAGCGGTAAAGCGTGCTCCCGCTTTTCTTGTTTATAGAACAAACGTCTTTGTTTCCCTTTAGCTGGCCAGTGTTTTGAATGTTTCACCTCCAGTCGACTCAGTTGGGCCCCAGATGAACTTGGCCTCCCCCGAGAAACACCACTGACCGTGATATTCACCTCATGTGATTGAAGAATCAAATCATGCACCAAAA